CTGCACGTCCCCCTCCACATCTAGATCATGCTCAAAACCCACCTGAGTATCCACCTGAGCATGCTGCTTATCCACCTGAGAGGACTCCTCTGGCATTTGCTGGCCAAAGCTCTCAGTATTCACCTGAACATTCACCTGAGCCTCTTTACTTGGAGGTTCTGCGGCAATTGAAGCACTGCCCATACCTGACGCCTCAGCATTACCCAAAGGAACACCTGAAGCAACACCTGAATTCAAAAAAGCACCTGACAGGACGTCTGACCAATTGTAACCAGGTCTCTCAGGTGCTGTTGCCGCATCTTCACACTCGATACGCAGCCCCTTCAATTCACCTGGCCTGTCCATGTCAGGTGTTTTCTCAGCTTCAGGCGAAACCTTACTTCCAAGCAGCTTCAAGGAAGTGGCAGCAGTAACATCCGTTGGGGCAGTTGTAGCAGCAGCAGCAGCTGTAGCAGCATTGGCGCCAGTGGCAGCTGTAGCAGCTGTAGCGGAAGTGGGTGCTGCAGCAGCGTCAGACAGGTGCTGCCACTCCAGTGAACCAATGGCAGGTCCGGATTCCAAGCCACCTGATACCAAACCTGCAGGCACCAAACCAGCCGGCGCCGAACCTGCTGGCACAATGCATCCTGCCGCCGAGCCTCCAGCACCTTTGTTTGTCTGCCCTTGTGCTGTTTCTTTTGCCCCTTCAGTCGCACCCTCAGCCCGAGCCTTAGCCTCGGCCACAGCTTCGGCATGTATTTCAGCTTCCAAATCACTCACTGCACTCCCTAATACCACACCACACTCCGCTGCTGCTGCTGCTGCTCCTGCTGCTGCTCCTGCTCCTGCTGCTTCAGTCGAACCTGCTGCTACAATCGCCGCCGCCGCAGCAGCAGCAGCAGCGACAACAGAAGTATTGGCAGTGGCACAGGTCACAGCCGCAGCAGCAGCAGCATCGGCAGCAACATTGGGAGCAGCACCTATTTGGGCTGCTACTGTTGCTGTTTCTGCTGTTGTTGCTACTGCTGTTGCTTTTGCTGCTGCTGCTGCCGCTGATGCTGCTGCTGCTGCGGCTGCTGCTGTTGTTTCTGTTGCTGCTGCTGTGACAGTTGCAGTTGTTGTTGCTGCTGTCACTGTTTCTGCTGATGATGCTGTTGCAGCTGGTGATAATGCTGCTGCTATTGCTAATACTGTTGTTGCTGCTGCTGCTCCTGTTGCAGTTTCGTCTACTCCTGCCGCTTCTGCCACTCCTGCGGATTTTAGCCCATTCTGCACCAGATGCGTTTCTACTGTGCTTGCTGTGCCAAATTCACCAAGGCTCTCCTGTTGCTGCTTCTGTTGCCTCTCTTGCTGTTGTTGCAGCTGCTGCTTCTCTTGCGGGTGTGTGTGCTGCGATTCAGACACATAGGAGGAAGAAGAAGCTTGGCGAGCAACAGTGGCAGAACCAGGAGCAGCCGAACCAGGAGCAGCCGAGCCAGGAACAGCCGAACCTGCAGCAGCCGGACCGGGAGCAACCGAACCAGGAGCAACCGAACCAGGAGCAACCGAACCAGGAGCAGCCGAACCAGGAGCAGAACCCTTCTTCTGCTGATCCTTCTGCTGCTCGTGCTGCAGTGGCTGCAGTTGAGAGGATCGTACCTGCCCCTGTTGCGGCTGTTGCTGCGGTGGTTGTGGTGGTTGTAACTGCTGTACCTGTGGCGGCTGTGCCTGCAATGAGTGTAGCTGTGGCGGCTGTAACTGCTTTTGGAGAGTTTGTATAAACGAGACTGAAGGGGTGATCCCTTGCACCCTGTACCTTGCTGCTCCTGATAAACCCCCTGCTACGACCCCCATTCCTGCTACAGCCTCTTTTCGTGCTCCAGCCCCTGCTATGCCTGCTGCTCGCGCTACAGCGGTTCCCGTTCCTGCTACAGACCCTTTTCGTGCTACAGCTGTTCTTGTTACTGCTACAGCACCTGTTCCAGCTACAGCACCTGCTCCTGCTACAGCTCCTGTTCCTGCTACAGCCTCTGATCTTGCTACAACCACTACTGCTCCTGCTACACCTGCTGCAGCAGCCATACCCGTGCTGATTCCTGCCTTGAGCCCTGTTGCTACAGCCGCTCCCGTTTCCGCTACAGCTCCTGCCTGAGTTCCTGCTACAACCGGCAGAGCCGCAGGCCCACTCACGCTGACTCCTCCCTTAGCCAATCCATTTACAGCCCCTGCGTTACTGATTCCCCCAGCATCCCTCGCTGCTACAGCCAAAGCTGCAGGCACACCTGCTGTTGGTACTGCTCCTGCTGCTACAGCCCCTGCTACAGCCCCTGCTACAGGCCCTTCTGCGACAGTGCTATTTTCTACAGTGCCTGCCGCTCTAGCTGCGGTTGTAGCCGCTACAGTTGCAGGTCTTCCTGTGACGGGTCCTGACATACCGCCTGCTGCTACTGCTGCTGCTGATGCTGCGGCTGCTGCTGCTGCAGAATCCTTTTCTTTTAAAGTCCCTGATACTGCTTCAGGCACTGCTGCTACAGGGGATGCTGCTACAGTTGCTGTTGCTACAGCTGTTGCTGCTACAGACGATGCTGCTAAACGGGAATCTGCTATAGCTCCGCCTCTCCCTCCCCCTCCCACTCCGACTATGGTTGCAACCACCCCTGCCCCATTCCGCCCCCCTCTCCCCCCACTTCCTTGTCTCCCCCCGGTACCCCCTCCTCTGCCGTGCGCCGCTGTCTTTCTCCGCTCCGCAATCCCCTCTTCCCCCATGGCTTCCCCCGAAATGCTCCGCTCTCCCCCGCCCCCTGCCGCGCTCCCCGCGCCAACCCGCGCCTCCCCCGCTGCGCCAACCCTCGATTCCGCTGCGCCAACCCTCGCCTCACCCGCTGCGCCAACCCGCGCCTCCGCTGCGCCAACCTGCGCCTCCCCCGCGCCAACCCGTGGCCCCGCCACGCGAACCCGCGGCTCCCCTGCGCTATACTTCTTCAGCGCAGCTTCAAGCTCCGCAAACCTGCTTCCCCCAAACCCGCCTGCACCCGGAACGTTCCCCCTAGTTTTGCCCCCCCCAACTCCGCCAGCTCCGCCAGTTCCGCCAGCTCCTGCGGAGATATTCGCGTTTCTAACCTCCTCGGGAACGTCTGCTATATTCAGCGATCCATCAATCAGAGCTGTGAGTATGTGGTTCGACGAGTCGATCAGCCAATTAACTACACTAGAAGCCGAAGCGCGTTTAATCCTACGTCTCCCCAGCAACTGCTGAAGGCGGAAAAAGCGGTCCGCAGTATCCGGATTTAACCTAATCATCGTATTCTTCCCGCCCGATGCTTTTTTATGCCGGTCCTTGCTACGATCTGTACTCTTGCTTCGATCTGAGCCGTTCGTAAGTCGACGCGCAGAATTGGAGGAGAGCGGCGCGGCTCCGGTTGCTGACGTGGACGGAGTCACGACGGGATTTCCGGCGGGGATGCTAGGAGGTAGGAACGGGGCAGCCGAAGATGGAGCCGCAGATACGAGGGAAGCAGGGGCAACGGTGACAGGTAATGCGGCGGCATTCGCGGCGGCTGCGGCGGAATTGCGGGCTGCGCGTTTGACGTCCATGCCGGCGAGAAGCTCACCAAAATTATGAGATCCAGGTAACCGATCGAGAGAATATAGTTTAGGTCATTGCGGGCATACCGCAACATAATATGTTAGGGCAGCGTCCGCCAAAAAAGTCTCGCTACGAGCTTTGGAAGGATATCCGTTATACAGACTGATATTTCAGTCATCTGCACAATGACACACCATCATGCTTCCACAATAAGCCTTTCAAGAGAGTTGGGAAAACCAGAAACTTGGCAGGCATAATGGAACGAAGGCGCTTTCTACAGCTGCTACTGCAGTCAGAGTGAAACTCGTTTTCTATGTATCTTACAAATGCTGGAGATCGTGAAGACGTAAAATTCTGGTGCCGTAAAACCACATACATGTTGGTGGCGTGGTGTGTCCACATGCAAACATGGTGGTGTCATTGGTTGAAGGAACAGACAATCATGCTTTGTTTTCTTGCTACAAGAAGTATGCAAGGAATGTCTATTGCTCTTGCTTTGCCCTCTCCTCTTCTTCCTCCTCGGAGGTCTCCTTATTAGCCAGAGCTACCAAGCACAGCCCAGCACAAATGCACAATGCACCCACAAACCACCTTGGCTTTAACTCCTCCCCTAGAAGCAGCACTCCTAATGCACCAGACCAAAGAATGGAACAGGAGCTGCTAATCATGGTGGCCCCAAGAGACGAGATCCCCTCCATGGACTCGATATAAGAATGCCACATTCCTACTGTTAAGAAGAGTACACCGCCGTAACAGACAATGGAAATAACAGCGTCTGCGGCACCGTAGGCGTCTAGGAGCGTGAGTGGGGATAGGAGAGGGAAGGAGCGCCACGAGCCGGAAAGGCGGGCGAGGATTGGTTTGCAGGCGCCGATGAATCCGGCGAAGATGCAGAGGAGGAGAGATCGCTGGAGGGATGGTCGAGCCATGTTACGAAAGTCTGAGAAACGTGCCACCAGGACGAAGACAAATGGGATGAGACTACGGCGTAGGGGTATGCTAATCAGCAGAAGAGATTATTAGACGAAAGAGGAAGAGAGAGGTCGAGTGATCCAATGGCGCACCAGAATGACCTATAAGTAACGGACGCGCAGAAGGTGGAGGTGAAACGCCTAAGAATGTCAAGATCGACGCGATGGAAAGGCTGAAACACGGAACGGCGCGTCAAAGGAAAAAACCACGGGCAACAAGGACAGCGGAATCAATTCGACTTCTAGACTTCTGTACAAGCCGCTTGTGAATGAGAGACCAAGGGAACACCAGTGTGCTGGTCGGAGCCAACAGATTCCATGGAGGTGGTAGTAGATCCACCAGAACAGGCATTCTCCAGCAAACTACACCAACAAACCGTGAATAGATGGAGGCATTTGAAACTGGGCATTCAAAACAGGGCTCCTCGCCTCGCTTTTGCGACGAAACGAATCTCTAAGCATGCTTGTTACAGCGGTCGCCACCCATGGTGCGAACGAACCGAAACGTTCGCGAATTCAGGTTTGATTTCGGCATTCTCGTTACGAAAAACGATGGACTGCCTAGTGGGCTACAATTCTCAAGGTCTGTATGCTTCATACAGACCTGAGAGATTCAATGAACTGGCTCTTCGAATCATTTTCTGGGAAAACCGAGTACTTTCAAAGCGCGTACAAATTGGCTACAAAGCAGACCATGAAAAGCAGCCATTCCAGACCGTCCCTGCGTCACCCTCTCTGGGGTTCGCCAGCCATCAGTGCGAAATTCGCCAGTGATGGCGTCCGCCGTGCGGTTGTTGCGGCATCGCTCTCGCGAAGCTGACTCCGCAATTCGCCGATTAACTTGTAATTACTCGTCTGCTCGCGCCTACACCATTGGAGCCACACCCGCCTTCCCCCACACCCGCCGTTCGTCCCCCTCTCCATCAGCGATCCGCGCAGCATGTCCGCTTGTGACCGCCCCGTGCGCCGATCCTTCCGCCTCTTCCGCCCGAGCCCCTCCTCCCGCCCGTCCGCTTCTTCCGCCTGCCTCGTCTCCGCAATCCCCCCAGCAATTCCGGAAGTCCGCCATCCAGCTGTCAGCCTTCACCGCGAGCGGGGCGCAGGTTCTGGGCAACACGCGGGGAACTGGCGGAGATCAGGGGAACGGCGATCGCGGAGGATGGGGGGAAGAGCGCTGGGGGAACCGCCGCGGAGGGGAGTGGGCGGGCGCATGCGGGGCTATTTTTGCTGGGGTGGCGGCAGTGGGGGTATCTTGGGGGGAGGCGCGGAGCAGCAAAGGGGGAAGGGCAGAGGAGAAAGGGAAGAGAGGGGAAGAAGGAGTAGGGGAAGGGGGGGAGGAGGAGGAAGGGGAGTTGGTTTCAAATTGGAGTGGTACGCATGAGGTTCGGGCCGCTGTGGTGTACCGACCGGAATCAATGCAGGTGATTGTGTGCTTGCTTGTATGCATGTACGCGTGTGTGCTAATATACAGTGGGGTGTGTGCCTTTGTGCGTGTACAACTGGAGTGGTGTGGTGGTACTCATCGCCCTATCCTCCCATCCATCGTACTAGCATATGAAACGCTTAGTGCAGTCAGCCCATGCAGAGGGCCGCACCATCCGCCCTGTAGGCAGCGCCATCTCCCTTAACGGCATTGCTCTTCTGTCCCTTTTCTCCCTACCATTCTTCCCAATAGGATTTGGAGCGGATCGTTCGATCAGCTCACAGGGAGGGTCGAACCATCCGCCCTGTAGGCAGCGCCATCTCCCCCAACGGCATTGCTCTGAGCGCCCACAGCATGGTCAACCTAGCCCTCATGGACCGAGTGGTGTGCGTGCTTCCTCTCTCCCCCTCACACCAGGACCTGGAGCGCATTGTCCAATCGGCGCATAAAGAGGGCCGCACCATCCGTCCCGTAGGCAGCGCCATCTCCCCCAATGGTATTGCTCTGAGCGCCCACGGCATGGTCAACCTGGCCTTAATGGACCGAGTTCTACATGTGGATAAGGCGACAGGGAGGGTGCGCGTGCAGGCAGGGGCGCGCGTGGAACAGGTGGTGGAGGCTCTGAGGCCATATGGACTTACGCTGCAGAATTACGCTTCTGTTCGGGAGCAGCAGATTGGCGGGTTCATACAGGTGAGTGCGCAGCACCATTTGGCTGACCCTCCACAGGCAGGGGTGCGCGTGGAACAGGTGGTGGAAGCACTGAGGCCGCATGGGCTTACCCTCCAGAACTATGCTTCGGTCAGGGAGCAGCAAATTGGAGGTTTTATACAGGTGAGCAGCAGGGTCTGGACGGGGTTCTGCTTTGCATGTGGGTCGGGTAAGGCACTGGTGGGAGGGTGCGCGTGCAGGCAGGGGCGCGCGTGGAACAGGTGGTGGAAGCACTGAGGCCGCATGGGCTTACCCTCCAGAACTATGCTTCGGTCAGGGAGCAGCAAATAGGAGGTTTTATACAGGTGAGCAGCAGGGTCTGGACGGGGTTCTGCTTTGCATGTGGGTCGGGTAAGGCACTGGTGGGAGGGTGCGCGTGCAGGCAGGGGCGCGCGTGGAACAGGTGGTGGAAGCACTGAGGCCATATGGATTGACTCTGCAAAACTATGCTTCAGTGCGGGAGCAGCAGATTGGGGGGTTCATACAGGTGAGCCTGGGGTGCTGGATGGGTTGCTGCACGTGCATGGGGGCAGTAAGCAAGGGTGCGCGTGCAGGCAGGGGTGCGCGTGGAACAGGTGTCGGAGGCATTGAGGCCCTAGGGTGCGTCTGTGCGAGAGCAGCAGATAGGCGGGTTCATTCAGGTGAGCTGGCAGCATGGGCAGGCTTGCTCGCGTGGAGTGGCTCTGAGCGCGCATGGCATGGCATGGCGTGGCATGGCATGGTCAGTCAACCCGGCCTTAATGGATCGAGTGCTGCATGCTGATATGGCCACAGGGACCAACCTGGCCTTGATGGACCCTGTGACCTCGGTCCCTGAGGTCCGAGTGGTGCATGTGCATGTGGATGGGGCCACAGGGAGGGTGCGCGTGCAGGCAGAAGCGTGCGTGGACGAGCAAGTCTTGGCCATTCAGCTCGTGATAAGTGCTCGCAACAGTGTGCGAAAGTTCACGTGCACGTGCTAAAGTGGCAGTACAGCCACTTAGCTCTACGTTCCATCTCTTTCTTCTCACGATTTCCATTTTTCCAGGTGGGAGCACATGGCACAGGGGCCGGCATCCCTCCAGTGGACGAGCAAGTGGTGGCCATTAAGCTTGCAGGGGCACGCTGCACCTTCCTGTGACAGGAGCGCACACTTTCTGCCCTTTCTGCCCTCTCCTTCTTCTGTGCTCCCCCTTTCTGCCCTCTCCTTCTTCTGTGCTCCCCCTTTCTGCCCTCTCCTTCTTCTGTGCTCCCCCTTTCTGCCCTCTCCTTCTTCTGTGCTCCCCCTTTCTGCCCTCTCCTTCTTCTGTGCTCCCCCTTTCTGCCCTCTCCTTCTTCTGTGCTCCCCCTTTCTGCCCTCTCCTTCTTCTGTGCTCCCCCTTTCTGCCCTCTCCTTCTTCTGTGCTCCCCCTTTCTGCCCTCTCCTTCTTCTGTGCTCCCCCTTTCTGCCCTCTCCTTCTTCTGTGCTCCCCCTTTCTGCCCTCTCCTTCTTCTGTGCTCCCCCTTTCTGCCCTCTCCTTCTTCTGTGCTCCCCCTTTCTGCCCTACCACTTAGGTCCGGGCACACGGCACAGGGGCCACCATTCCCCCAGTGGACGAGCAAGTGGTGGCCCTTCACCTCGTGACACCTGCTTGGGTTGCCTTGTCATGTGAATGACACACACCTTTTCTGCCCTCCCGCCCTTCCATCTCCTCTTTCCCCAGGTGGGAGCACATGGCACAGGGGCCGCCATTCCCCCAGTGGACGAGCAAGTGGTGGCCATTAAGCTCGTGACACCTGGCAGCAGCACGCTGCACCTGACGCCCGAAGCTGACCCGGACCTGTTCTACCTGGCTCGGTGCGGGCTCGGAGCGCTGGGGGTGGTGGGGGAGGTGGAGTTGCAGGCAATACCAGCTCATAGACTGAGGGAGGAGACCTTTGTGACTGATAAGGAGGAGATTAAGAGGCATCATAGGTGAGTAAGCAATTGGGAAGGAGGGCGGGAGGGAGGTTGGGATGTTAACCACTCATACTTTCAAGTAGGGATAGGAGCGCTGGGGGTGGTGGGGGAGGTGGAGTTGCAGGCAGAGCCGGCGCACAGGCTGAGGGAGGAAACGTTTGTTACCACCAAGGAGGAGATCAAGAGGCATCACGAGTGAGTAAGCACTAGAAGGGGTTGGTTCGCTGGGGGTGGTGGGGGAGGTGGAGTTGCAAGCAATACCAGCTCATAGACTGAGAGAGGAGACGTTTGTCACAACTAAGGAGGAGATCATGAGGCATCACGGGTGGGTTAGTTGTAGGAGAAAGGGTGGGAAGGAAATTGGGGATAACCACTCAGCAAGGAGGGATTGGAGTGGTGGGGGTGGTGGGGGAGGTGGAGTTGGAGGCAGTGCCGGCTCATAGACTGAGAGAGGAAACGTTTGTTACCACGAAGGAGGAGATCAAGAGGCATCACGGGTGAGTAGGTTTTGGTGGTGCGTGCTTGAGGGGGGAGGGAGGGTGTTTGAGTCACATGGAAACGCGTGCTGGGAGAAGTTGGCTCGGTGTGGGCTCGGAGCGCTGGGGGTGGTGGGGGAGGTGGAGATGCAAGCAGTGCCGGCTCGCAGACTAAGGGAGGAAATGTTTTGTTACTACAAAGGAGGATATCAAGAGGCATCACGGGTGAGTAGGCACATGTGGATTCCACACACACACACACAAACACAGACCTTCTTTATCATTCCACCATGTTACCATACCCTCTTTCCCCCTCTGCGAGTCAATGGTTGCGGGGGTACCAGCATGTGCGCTGCTTGTGGATTGCACTGTCTGTGCAACATGGGTCCATCATGCCTGCCCTCCTCTTTTCCTCTCTGTCAGACAATAGTTGCGAAAGTACCAGCACGTGCGCTGCGCTGCATGTGGGTTCCACACGTACAGGCAGTTGTAGTGGTGAGAAGCAACCCTGTCAGTGACTCCATGAGTGCAAGATCGGCTGTGCAAGTTGCAAACCTTTTCATCGAGCCTCCCTTCCTTCCCCCCCTCTCTGTCAGACGATGGTTGAAAGACTACCAGCACGTGCGATACATGTGGATTCCACACACACAGGCAGTTGTGGTGGTCAGAAGCAACCCTGTCGTCAAGGGCGGCAGCAGCGGGGGATCAGCAGCAACAGTGCAAGGCGAGGGAGCTGCCAGTGGGCCGGCGTTGAGCGAGGGTGAGAAGCTGGCTCACGTGCGGGCTCTGTACCTCGCATCGGTTGCTGCCAGGAGAAGGTGAGATCAGATGGTCACCAGGATCATAGGAGCGTGATGCCATCCTTCTCGGTAATGTGAATTGAGAACCCTTTAATTGTTGCCCTGCATTGAATCGTGGTTCTGCTTTATCCTGGCTCAGTTCTGTACCTGGCTTACCTTGTCCCGTTTCACCTTGGTTCAAATCGCATTCTCTTTCACTTCCCCTCCAAACTAACTTTCCCCTTTTCTCTCCTTCCTTTCCACCACCATTACTCCAGCACCAAACCTTCCACGACCCAGTCCCACCCGACTTCCTCCTCCCCATCCTCTGCCTCATCCTCCTCTCCTTCCCACGGACATACTTCTACCACCGAGGCAGCTGCTGGCATGTGGTATGGCACAGGTTCGGCCGAGCCTGCGCCGCCAAGCCAACGCTTCCTATCCAAAGCTGAGCTTCGGGAGTTGTCTTTCACGAGGCTGAGGGACGAGCTGCTGGCGCTGGATCCATTGAACCTGGACCATGTGCGGGCGATCAACCAGGCCGAGGCTCTGTACTGGAAGCTGAGTGAAGGGGAGAGGTGAGTGTGTGTGTGGGGGTGGGGGGGGATGCTAGATCCATTGAATCTGGACCATGTTCGGGCGATTAACCAGGCAGAGGCTCTGTACTGGAAGCTGAGTGAAGGGGAGAGGTGAGTGTGTGTGTGGGGGTGGGGGGGGATGCTAGATCCATTGAATCTGGACCATGTTCGGGCGATTAACCAGGCAGAGGCTCTGTACTGGAAGCTGAGTGAAGGGGAGAGGTGAGTGTGTGTGTGGGGGTGGGGGGGGATGCTAGATCCATTGAATCTGGACCATGTTCGGGCGATTAACCAGGCAGAGGCTCTGTACTGGAAGCTGAGTGAAGGGGAGAGGTGAGAGTGTGTTGGGTGGGGTTGGAAAATTCAATGACCACACACACATAAGGCTGACAGTGTGTGCGTGTGTGCATGCGTCCACGCGTGTGTGAGTGTGATGTTTATGCATGCACATGAGGTCTGTAGAGCACCCAGCCAAGTATCACCTAACAATGATACTAGGCACATTGTGCTGAACCATTTTTTCCCTTGCAGGGAAGGGTGGAGCGACCAGATACTGGGCTTTGACTGTGGTGGGCAGCAGTGGGTGTCAGAAGTTTGCTTCAAGGCAGGCGGCAGCACCACCACCATCACCTCCAGCACCGCCGCCAGCAGCAGCAGCAGCAGCAGCAGCACCACCGCCCCCAGCAGCAGCGGCAGCAGCAGCAGCACAGCGGACATTGCGTTTATGGAGGAGCTATTGGCGCTGATTGAATCGGAGGGTATCCCTGCCCCGGCTCCCATAGAGCAGCGCTGGACCAGCGGCAGCCGCAGCCCTCTCAGCCCTACTGCTGGTGCTTATAACGCTGCTAATGCTGCTGGAGGTTTTGCAGCAGGAGGTTCGGCAGCAGGCTCGGCTGCAGATGGAAGAGCGGCTCACGATGATGTTTACTCATGGGTATGTGGAAATGTTGCTGACACTGATGCATGTAGGTGTCTGAAGGATGTTGATGTTCCAGTATGTTTATTTGTTGCCATGTGGTATGATGCTCACGCATGGGAAGTATCTAGGCATCAACGCGACCATCCATATCCAAGCTGCCTTCATATGATTTAATCATCTCATCACCTCTTCATGATATTTTTTTTTCTCTTTTCTTTTCTTTTTTTCTTTTTGTGCCGGGATTTCCCATCACATGCAGGTGGGCATTATCATGTATCTGCCGTCCAACGACCCTGACCAACGGGCAGCCATCACCAAACATTTCCTCGACTACAAGTTTGTGACTGCCCGCAGGCTCTGGGACAAATACGGAGCACATGAGCACTGGGCAAAGATCGAGGTATGGCCATTACAAGTAAAAGAGGGCAATTGATGAGCTTACATCAACGTAAGGTTGGAGCGCAAAGGAAGATGATGTTATTGGAGGGCTTATGTTAGCTTAGTGTTGTTTCTCTCCTTTTGATTCTTCCGACCTTTCCCAACCTTTCCCACGTTCTCTTGGTGTTTTGTCTCCAACTTCTTTTATCTCCACCGTCAACTGTTAAAGAATTCTCTGGTTTTATCATCCCTGGCTTTTTTTTTTTGTCATTTCCAAAATTGCGTCCTCCTTTCACCCCCCATTGCACAGATCCCCTCAGATCCTGCCACTCGTGAGTGGCTTGTGTCGCGCGTTGCTCGCGATTTCCCAGTGGCCAAATTGAACGAGTATCGGAGAAAGCTGGATCCCAAAAATGTGCTGGCCAATGACATGCTCAATGTGCTGTTCCCTCGTTGAATCAACGCAACCCCAACGAAGTTACAATCGTTTCATTCATGGCGCATGTATGTCATTCTTATGGCAAACCATTGCCATTAGCTTGACCAAGTTGAATGAGTATCTGCGAACGCTGGATCCCAAACATGTGCTTTTTAATGACATGCTCAATGTGCTGTTCCCTCGTTGAATCAACACAACTCCTAATCAAGCTGCAGTTAGTTTGTCGCAATCCGTAGGTACATCATTCTTGTAATAAATCAACCAATTCTTTCTGAACGCTGTTGTACGCAGCAGAAACAACATGGGGATTTCATCGTCTTGTAGTGTCCATTCCATCAGTTGTCATGCTGTTGCATCACTGTTTGCTTGGAAGATACTTATAATCACTGGCACTCACACACCTCTCAGCAGCAGCTCATCAAACAGTATTATCAAGTTGATTCAGCAACCTAACCTACTAACATATGGCTTTAGCCTTTTAGCAGCAAGCAACAGAGCATGTTTTGAGTAGGATTATGTTTTAGATCACCGCAGCAGCAGCATCATCCAAAGCAGTATTACAGTGACAGTCAATTCAATAACCTAGTTTCTGAGTTGTATAACCAACAACTCCCAACCACACCTCACTTGGTTTGGAAGATATTTTGGATCATTGGCCGGGGCACCTCAGCAGCAGCGTCATCCAAAGCTGCGACCTCATTGGACGACAGCCGCCAGCCAAGCGCTCCGAGATTCTCCTTTGCTTGCTCCACGGTCTTGGCTCCTGGGATGGGGACTGTGCCCTTGGCCATGCACCAGTTGATCGCCACCTGTCAACAAAGGGAGTAGGAGAAGCATGCACGACCGTAAAACACATGTAAGTTGCTTGTCTGCTTGCTCCAGAGATTTGGCTTCTGGGATGGGGAATGCGCCCTTGACCATGCATTAGTTGATCGCCACCTGGTGACATGGCGGGAAGGTGTAGCATGTAAAGCTATTGAAAAGACACACACAAGTGCTTCCATGTGGAGAAGGCTCCTGGGAAGGGGACCAAACCGCGCCCTTGGCCATGCAACAGTTGCTTGCCATGCATTAGTTGATTGCCATGTGTTAAGTGGGAATAAGTGGGATTGAGACAGTGTGTGCTGGAGCAGAAAAGCAGAATTAATAGCAGAGCAGTCAAAAGAGGATACAGCATCACAGGTAGATAGGAGGTTGGAGGGCAGTGGACTCATGTAGAGAACGAAGATGGGATAATAGAAGTTCCAAGATTGACTTGCCTGAGGCAGGGTTTTGTTTCGCTTTTCCCCAATTTCCGTCATGAGGCCAAGAAGAGGGTCCAGGCCGGGCAGCAGTTGTTGGAACAAAATACCTCTGGATTGAGAATAAGAAACAGGTGTGGGGGAATGGGGAGGAAGATTGAAGGGGGTGTTAGACAGGAGAGAGGGTGGGCAGGGTGACGTGGGGTTGAGAAAAGAGGGGAAGAATTTACAGAGCACAGATAAATCAAGGGAGAGTGCGAGACAATGTGGAACAGCCACGTGATGGGATGGAATTTGATGGGCATAGTTGGCCGAGTGGCGGCAGTGTGTAAATCACAAGTCAGCATGACCGTGCCATGCACTCCGCATCAGAATCGTAAGGCTTGTGAAACAGCATGCAAGCAAAGCGAGGGTAGATTGAGCAGCGCCTGAGCCGTTGTGAGAGATTTAGCAAGCACCTTGGGCCTTTCGGCAGGTTATCGGCGTTGTATTTCCCTGAGAGCACGCCGAGAGCAAGAGGGGAGTATGCTATAACGCGGATGCCATTGGCCTCACAGAAGGCCAGCAGGTCGTCCTGCTCTTCACCCGAGCTCAGGAGGGAGAATTGCACCTGGTGGCGTGGGGTGGATGGATGGGTGTATGGGTGGGTGGATGTATGGGTGGGCGAGCTCTGGAGGGAGAATTGCACCTGGTAGCGTGGGGTCGGTGGAAAGATGGGTGGGTGGATGGGGTTCTGATGTGAAGGCACGAAAGGTGACAAGTGGGTGTATGAAGGAAAGCCGAAAAGAGGTTTGCAAGCTGATGTTGGGACTGTCCCGCTATGACAAGGAACAACGCAATGGTTTGTGATGTAGGGACAATGGTTCGTGAGCATTGAAAGGATTGTCTAGGCGCCTTGAGAACACACATATGGCTGTCTATTACATGAAGAACCTACCCAATGGGTCGTGCAAACTGATGTAGTGTAACTTGCAGCACAGTGGGAATCATGCCGTACCTGTGCCGAAGCTAGCGGCACTCCCCGTTCCTGCAAGTAGGTGTAGATTCTCTCGAGTTGCTGCGGGCCATAATTGCTAACTCCCACACACTCCACCAGGCCCTGGTGGTGGGGAGAGGGGGGTTTAGTTAGAGGTGGAGTGCTAAGGTTTTGAGTCGACTCGAAACACGAGTTGCTGCGGGCTATAGTTGCTCACCCCGACACACTCCACCAGGCCCTGGTGGTGGGAGAGGGAATTTAGAGGTGGAGCGCTGGGGGCAAGGACACGATTTAAAAGTTGCAGTTTCTTGATGCCGCACTTGTCCTCCCCTCAACAGGTAGACAGTTTCATTGGAAGCGTTACAGTACATTCCTTCATATGGCACCAGTTTCAGCTCACATGCTCTTGCGTGCTCTTTGTGAATGCATCGGTATCTCACCTCAGTGTACAGTTTCAGCCCTCCTTGTACGGTTTCACCGCACTCCCTCGTACGGTTTCATATCATTGCATGAACGGTTTCATCTCACCTCCTCATACACTTTCATCTCACCTCCTCATACACTCTCATCTCACCTCCTCGTACATAGCGACGAGCCCATCCCACAGCACCCTCTCCTGCAACGGAGCATAGTTGGCTGCGGACCAGTGCAGCTGGCCTATTGCCAGTTTCTCCAAGCCCAGGCGATCCAGTGATGATCTGATGGAAGGAAAGAGAAAATTTTGGGGGAAGAAGGGGATACAAAAGAGAGGGAAATGTTTGTTAGAGGAGGCATGCCCAGGCGATCACCAGGCATGCCCAGGCGATCTAGTGAGGCTCTGATTAGGCAGGAATTCGCGGGCAGGTCGGAGGCAACGCGGATGTCCACTCCCCCCACTACTCCCATCCACCTCCGTGTCGCCTGTGTCCCCCGCAAGCCCCCGGTCTCACCTTGGTGGCAATTCGTATTAACTCTCCCCCCACTCACCCCATCAATTCCCATGTTCCACATGTTCACCCATGCCCTCCCATATCTCCCCATGTTTCCCCATGTTCCCCCATCTCCCAGTGTTCCCCCTGTCCCCGGCCGCACCTGCAGGCGCCCACCATCTGTGCGGGCGTGAGGCGCCAGGGATACGCGGCGAGCTTGGTGGCAATGCGGATGTCACTGCGGTACTTGTCACTGCCTGGCGTGGGGAGTTGGATATGGGAGGGAGAGAATGTCGAGTTCGTTTTCGAAGAACTTCAAAAACTGACCCACCATCTGTGCGGGGATGAGGCGACAACGCCGAGCATACGCAGCGAGCTTGGTGGCAATGCGGATGCCACTGTGGTACTTGTCACTGCCTGGCGTGGGGGGTTGGGGTGTGCGGTGGGCAAATGGAAAAGTCGCAAATGTCGCTGTGATCTTGTCAACTGATGAAGGCGGTAAGAGAAAACATTATTGAGTTGGAACGTCTAGAACAAACCTGCAATGCAGGTTACAGATGATGATGACAGGGAGGTGCAGGCGATGCTGTGGGATAGATAGAGAATGATAGAGGACTGATGCGGAAGAAGAGTGAGACCTACAATCCTTCTTACCTGGAAGAACTCCTACCGGGGTACTCTTTAATGAACTGGCCCAGTAGCTGCTCGCTGCGGCCGCTAAGCGCTCCAGTTCCGTAGGAGTCAGCAGTGTCGAAGACATTAATCCCGCGCGACACGACCAGGTCAAATACCTCCTTAAGTTCCTCGTCCATTGCCTTGTCGTACCCCCACAGGAACTTATTTCCCCACGCCCAGGTGCCGAGGCCCATGGGGGAAACCGAGAACGGACCGAGCCGCACCTGATAGAGGGCGTGTTTCACACAACGCGTGTGACGTTTGTGAAGGTGGTACGGGGTTGGTTAAGTTATCGAAATCCAACGCTAGACAGTGGTGCTCCTTTGCTTGAAGGTGAACCTGCACGACTTACTGTACGAAAGGCAGCAATGGCTTACCCTTTCCCATGGAGCATATGCCCATCCTTCACGGAACTCCCCGGAATCGCTTTCCGGAGCGCCTCGCTTGGTGAAGAAGTCTAGAATGGCTCGCGCTTCCACTTGAAGTACGGACTTCTTCGCGGCATTTCGGGATTGAACCGGTACCACGCGACTCGATGCTGACCTCTTGCTTGGGAACTTGTGGGAAGCAAGCGACCCTGCGTCTCGCGAAGCGGGGCCTGAGAGCACGCGATTCGACCAGCTGAGCGACGTGGTAGCCATGGCTAAATTCCTGAAATTTTGTGAATAGGAGCTGAGCACTTCACGGATGATAAGAATCAAAGAGATATGTTAGGTTTCAGCTTGGTTCAATTAGTTTCCTGTCGGTGATGCAGGGTTGTATGGAGCCCCCGATGTGCTGGCTGTTACGAATTTGAGTGATGCGCTTGATTGGACAGACAAGATACGTGAGCTGTGCAAACCGTCGATTGCACTGAAAGCATAGCTTATCTACGAACACGGTTTGTCCGCAAACCGCCGTAATCGCACTTGGATATGACAAACGAAGTAGCAGCGATGGGCATCGTCACAGTTCGCGAAATCGCCATCGAACAGTATTACCCGTTTGCAAGTCTCGCAACACATTTTTCCCAAGCATTTGAAAGAGCAAATTTACCAGGGGGCTAAAAACGTTGGATGTTTTCCGCCATAAGTGGCCTGATCAGCGGGATCTGCGCGACCTTTACTAGTTATTTTCTGAGCCCAGTACTTCGTCGTTCAGGCATAATTGAAGCGACTGCTCAGCTAGACTCGGCTCGAGGCGTACGCTGACGCATATAGTACTGCCTGGCCTAGACGAGGTGGCTGTGACCGACGAGGTCGGGAGAACAATCATGTCGCCTCGAAGCGGGCGTTTTTTCTGTGCATCAAAGCCGCGTCAATCGCTCAGATGCTGCGTTCCGCGAGAACTAACTGATATATTCGGAGCCACCTGTGATGCCAACTCGAAGGTCGTCATCCCTCCCGTTATTTCAGCAGGCAGACGCGCTCCACAAGGAGATTTAGTCTCCAATTTTACTCTATCAGCAACATCAGCAGCAGCAGCTCCAAGGGATGCGAATTTCGGAAGTGGTTCAACGTCGACAGATCTTGAAGCGCATCAACGATCCATGTTGCCAGCTGTCCTCACAAGCCTCTTGCGCACTGGGTTGGCAAATTTGGCGAGTTTCGCGGATTTGGCGAAGCCTGCACTAATTTCTCCTTCATTGAGAGGATCAAGAAGCACATTGGAGACCCCGGCTGCTAGAGCGGCATTCGCTTATGGCACCTCCTGTTTAAGCCATGCCAAATCGTCTATCCACCTTTTTAAAGGAATCAAGGCCAGAGATGCCAATCTCTTATCTGACTTCAGCTTTGCCACCTCAGCGACATACTCCACCACGCCATTCGAAGATTCCACGCCTGAGAAGGGTGCCACGTCATCGCACTCCACCAACCCAGCCAAAGATCCCGTCAAGCCAGCTGCACGGCGTTCCTTAAAATCCAACGAGGCGCTGCGAGTGTTCATAGTTGCTGGGGAGCCTTCAGGAGACGCGCTAGGGTGCAGATTAATGACGGCTTTAAGAGACGAGGTTGATAGGAGGAAAGGGGAAATCTGGGAGCAGGTGGAAGAAGGAAGCTTCCAGGAAGGGCGTTCAGGGACTGTTGAGTTTCAAGGTGTGGGAGGGTGAGTGTGGGATGCATTTAGAGAGCAAGTGAGAGAGCAAGTGAGAGAGTGCATGATGACAAAGCTTTCAATAAAGGGCTTCTTGGAAACCAGCTCACCCTCCTCCCTCTACATACACTCCCCAACAATCGCATCATCCCTTCACCCACTTCCACCACCATGTTCCCTGGATGGCCCCGCAGGGCCTCAGCTCCCTCTTCCCAATGACAGCCTTTCCATTATGGGCTTCATGAATACCAACTCAACTCTCTTCCCACCACACATGTTCCACATGCATCCCGCACCAACCACCACTCCCACCACCACCACAGCCCCTGGATGGCATCGCAGGGCCTCAAGTCTGTCTTCCCAATGACAGACATGGGGTTTGTGAAAACAAAGTTACCCCTGCTCTTTCCACACACACCCCCCACCACCTTCACCGCCCCAAACTGCACGACACCCACCTCCACAGCCCCTGGATGGCATCACAGGGCCTCAGCTCTCTCTTCCCAATGACAGACCTGTCAGTCATGGGCTTCGTTGAACTCATTCCTCGCATCCCACTCCTATGGGTACACTCCTCGCGCGCTCACTTTGCAATTTTTCTGGTGTAGCAATGTGTGCTCCTTTGCATTTGAAATGTTTTTTCTTTCATGTCAAATGGTCACTGAGTAAGGCGCCTCACTCTCCATTACGTGTTTTGGGTAGTAGACGGTCACAGCCAAGGTGATGCAACGATACTCCTCTTCTCTCTCCCCTCACCCTCCCCCCCTTCCTCCCCCTCCTCTCACTCCCTTCCCAGTATCGCCTGCGCCAGACTGCCCGACAAGTGGAGCAATTCCAGCCACACATTGTTGTCACCATCGACTCCAAAGGCTTCAATTTTCGCCTGCTAAAGTCTATCCGAGGTCGGATCTTGCACTGAATTGACCTCTGATGACTTTTGAGTTGAATGAAATATCGGGTTAACCTTTTGTAACTTCTGAGCCGACTGGGAGATCGGATGGACATGTGTGGACTTATGACTTGACTCAAAAACATTGTCGTCTCTGTCAACTTCCCTGGCTTCAACCAACTCTCACCTGCTGAAGCCACCCGAGGTCAGACCTTGCGCTTCATTGACTTCTGTTGAAACCATTATCGCGCTGAAGTGTGTGGTTACTTCCTGCTTCAATGTGCATGCTGCAGGCAAAGAGAAGTTCCGTGGGCAAGGCAAGGAGGCTCCTCTCTGTGTGCATTATGTGGCGCCGTCGTTTTGGGCAGTCAAGGGAGGAGAGCACAGACTGCGAGTATGTTCAAGTGTAATTGCTTTGAGGTCAATGTGTGTTCAAGTGTGTGCATTACCGTTTCGAATGTCAGCTCCTTGACAAACATTTCTGCATTCTTCCACAAACTCCCTGCCCTCCCCCAAGCAGCATCTCTCACCGTTGATGGACCATTTGCTGTGCATCCTGCCTCATGAGCCTGCCACGTGTCAGCAGCATGGCATCCCAGCAACTTATGTGGGCCATCCGATTCTTGAGACAGCAGCCGAGGAGCGAGGCAGCAGGATGAGTGGGGAAGGCGGGATGAAAGAGGTAGAGAGGAGATTGGAAGGGGGGAGTGGAGAAACACGAGAAACAGGAAAATCTGGAAAGGTCGAAAAGCTAAGGGATTGGGGTGATAATGTGGCAGATGAACAATGGTGGAAGGCGAGTGGGGATGGAAGAGCATTCCGACAGCAACACGGCATTCCAGGTAAGGTTCTGTGCGAAGAGCATGTGACCTTGCAATGTTTTAGGGGGCTGATTGTTTGCTATCCGAATTTGATTTTGAAGTTGATCAAATGTGCACTCAACTGAAGTTGATTCTTTATGTTTGCCCTTTCTCAGTCGGGCCCCAACACATAACCATCTGCCTGCTTCCAGGAAGCCGCCTACAAGAAGTATCCAGGATGCTGCCTGTATTCCTTCAAAGTGTTGAGATTCTGACTGCATCAAAGTGGCTTAGGGATTATTTGGATTCTCAAGGGCCAGGTGGCAAACTGTCACTGGTTATTCCAACCCTTCCACGCTCTTCAGGAGTGACTGTCCTTATCCAAAACATTTTGAAGTCATGGCTTGATTCTTTTAAAATTAAGAACTCCAGCTGGAGGTTTCCATTCAGTTTATCTCAATCTATGGAGTCTGACTCAGTGGTTGAGGTCGCAGCTGCAGTAGTGGTTCCTGCACCGGAGGGCAACACTTGTTCGAACAGAACAAGCAAAAGCAAAATGATCAAGACTGGACCACATACTGACGCACTTGCTGTGAGATTCTGAGATTTCATTCCTTATCCGGTCCCATCCCTATTTCATGTTGTGTTGCTTACCATATGAACTCACTAATAATGGTGCCTGTGCCTTAACCCTGTCGTAACCCTGTTATTGCGTGCAGGCATGTGATCTTGCTCTTTGTGTTTCTGGTTCCGTGGTGCTTGAGGTGCTTCGCTCGCAATTACCCCTGGTTGTGACGTATAAGGCCCACTGGATTACTCAATTCATTGTCAAGAAATGGTATGTAATGTGATTCTTGATATATTTTGGCTGCACAGTAGTTGGTAAGGGGCTAGGTCCATCAAATTTTGATGTGATGTGAATGGTGTTTTCCATCCACTCCATCAGTTTGGACTTCTTTTGTCTGCATTTCAGGACTTCTATTCAGTTTGCTTCATTGCCGAATATTCTCCTTAACAAGCCTTCACTTCCTGAGGTCCTATTTTCTGAGTGTACCTCACACAGGCTGTCATCTGTTATCAGGTATGTGTGCATCATTGTGTCTATCTCCTTTACCCATCTTACAGGGTGGGACCACAGCCGTTCTCAGCATGTTATGGCACCTTAAATTACAAGCTTGTGTTTTGTTATTGTGTTGATGAAAGTCCGTCGCTGCGGATGCCTTTTTTATTCACCCAGGGGTTTGATGGAAAACTTTGACAACTGCAAGGCTGACCAGCGCGCTACTGCTCATCTGCTCTTCAATGCTTTGCAAGAGCCCCTGAACAGCACTCATGCACATGCTCCTGAATGCAGGGAAGCACACACTCCCAGCAACATTGCAGCAGAAGTACTTATTGATCAGTTCCAATACGGTTCCAATACGTAATTTGACGAGAATTTGCATGTCCAATGCTGCAGTTAGTGTAGATTGATCTGATTGACCCACTTGTCCAGGCCATTTTTGGCACTTTCAGCCTCCTCTGGAATTATCGAAGACTCATATGTCTGACTTGGTTGCCACATGTTACAGTAGTTGTTGCGAAACTCTTATTCCAGATATTCGCCCTCCAGTTCCTTTGAGAACTTCGCATCTCACTTTCAGTCCTGTAGATGAACCTCATGAGACTTACAAGCAGGAGCTCTAGGAGAAAAATGAGGCTCGAAGCATACCTTCATTAGGCTGCAAGTTGGTGCTGGCAGCAACTGCATGAGACCGTGCTATGCTCCTGAAAGGGAAGACGAGTTTAGACCATTCCACCCCCCCAACAACAGACCAGACAGTCAGTGGCATCAGTACCTTGGTTGCCAATCTCCATTTGGGGCGACCCATTTGCTTGTGTTCAAAATATCTATCCAGGATACAGTCAGTAATTACGGTACAATCCAACATTTGGCCAGTAATGGAGCAGCGCTTACCTTTTAGCTCTCGACGGCCAATGGTTCCTGCATCAAAAAGTCCACCGGCAGCTTGGGGACAGTGAAACGGCGCTTCGTGTGAGGCTAGCTGCTCGTATTTCCACTCCCCACATTTCCACTCATCATGTAAAAACAGCTCATAATGCCTTGCGTCAAGTGTTTGCATGGTGCCTGTGCAGGGAAACGCGTTGCTGTATAGGTTCGTGTTCAACGAAAAGGAAGTTGAAGCTGAATCGTCTTACCTTCACACGTTTTGAGGCTGCAAACAGGACAGCGGACAAGGTGGAGATCTGTACGAAGCAACAGTGTTGTGTTAGGACTGTGTCAGCAAATCGATTTTGCCAAAAAAAATCAGCAATATACCTGCAATCCATATTCCATTCTGGACGCCGTCAATTGTCCAAGAAGCCATCAAGCCGCAGTCTTCATTGCACTGAAACCACGCCTGGCGTTAGTTTCAATATCACGAACCGATAAACTACCTAGTGATGCGAGTCTGACCTCTGATTCTCCCTCCCGCTGGAATCCAGCTGCCTTTTGAAGTGTGTCGGTCGCTACGACTCTGCCGCTGGTGACCGAAAATGCTCCAATTCTCATCCAATCTGGAAGACGAAGTAAATACGGCTGCCGCGAAAATTAAGCACCAGAGCCATGTGCCGTCACTTACCAATGTGCTTGTCGGATTGTCTTGAACTGTACGTGTGACTGCCGTCTGTAAACCAGATGATAGGGGTCAGACATTGCACGCCTGATAGCCATAGTTAAAAACAAAAGAAAGTAGTACCTATAATGCTTTTGTAGATGTCCAGCCAACCAAACTGGGGCTTACTAGAGGGTGCATTGCAGCCGAGCTCCTGTAAACAGCGAGTCTTCCATGTGTATTCTTCCATGGCAATAGATAGAAAGGACTTATTGCATAATGCTAGGGACATAATATCTCGACCGTCGAGCTTTTCCATAATTTTGCCCCATGGAATCGACGATTCCATTGCAGAGCACGGATGATGCCTCTGCAGCTTGAAAACAGATTCCATTCAGACTAGCATACCCAAGATAGTGAGGAAGAAGGCCTTTGTAGTGCATCGCTCATCAACAATGCATGTGAGATGCGTGATGGCTTCTGGCGGGAACTGGAATTCGCGAAGGTAGCCGTTGTGCCCTTGCGTGGGATCCCCAAGGATGGAAATTAGTTGGAGGCGCTTCCCCGTTAGTACTCAGATGGTTACACCACCGCAACACAGATTATGGAAACAAGCTATACCAATCATGCTAACAGCCCTACCCACCCATACCACCTAAAAAAAATACTGTACCATAAAACACAAAATGGAAGTTCTAAGGATTATTAGAAATTCGGGATCACTTGGTTTCAGGTGTTTAGGCTCAAGTATGTATATTAGATAATCGCATGCTATTGAAATATGTACATTTCGACCAATGATGCATTTAACAGCTTGTTAATCCTAAAATTCATAAATAAGAATAGACTTCCAGCTTCATGAATTCTAAAAAAATTCAGCTATTGTGTGTGTGTCTACCTATTTAGTTAAAGTCCAGCACACACAATTTCATTGTAAGGCATCAGTAGATATTGAAAATCGTGATTGTCTCGATATAGGGCATTCATAGTTCAACCCCAATCACAGCAAAGCCGTTCATCGTGTGATAGCTGTATTGCGAACTGCGACCAGGCAGCGAAGGACCTTTCAAGTTTGAGATCAACCATACTTGTGTCTTCTATAGTCTTGGCACTAAACGCAGCTATGGGCAATGCACAAGGGCACGCTGGGGCGGATTCTACAGCCGAGACTTACTCTCGCGTCGTTTTTACTGGTCTCGATGCACACAATGACGGAAGTGGGGGACGCGTTTTGTTCATCGCAGAAGACAAAGATAGCATAGAAGATCCTCCCCATGCGAGCTCCGAGTCAAGCTTACGCTTTTCTGGAAGTCTTTGCCAATCGAGTCTCGACGCCTTACTTTGTGGCCCTCAACCCGTACACCTTATCAAACACCAACATACACAGGACACTCACCTGTCTCAAAGTCCTTCTAGGCTCAGCTTTTCCGTGACGAGCGATGATGCACAGGTGACACATAAATCGTTGGAGATTCATGTGAATATGCGCACAGCTTGGCGGAAATGGGATTTTCAGCACCAGAATTACGAAATTATTGCGTCATGGGAAACGCCATTCGGTTTCACTGTTGCGCCTGCGGAGACGTCACCAATTATACAACTCAGCAAGAAACAGTTTCTGTTTCTTGGGTTGCAATTTTTGAAGGCCTTACAAAAAGAAGCAAGGTCCAGTAAGTAATTTCGAGGTACGGACTTTCTTCTGTTTACTTTTCGTGCCACTCATCCTCCTGATTTGCCTGCGTAGAGAACTACTGGAGAGGTATCGCCGAAAAACTCAGTCATGACATACACGAGGAAAGGAGGCAGCGAGACATCGTAACAGAAGATCTCTTAAAGGAAAAGAACAAGCTAATGGACGAGCTTACTCATTTGACAATGCATAATCGATCACTCATTAAGGCAAACAGCGACCTTGATGGTTTCATTGAAGAATGTAGGGCTGTAATTGTCATTTTGGACTTATTCAACACAGGCAGTATTCTCATGAGCTAATGTTTTTCAGGGAGACGAAAAGTGCAAGAGCTGGAGGAATCGCTGGTGACATCCAGGAAAGATAAAGATGACCAACGTGCCTCTTACATGTCTAAGGCAACCGCTGAAAAAGGTACGAACCTTTTTGACCATGTATTGAAGTCCGTGCCAGAAAAGCTAACATTTATCCGTTCTTTCATGCAGCACAACTGGTTAAGCGACTTCAAGATCTTTCCAGATCTGCTCACCACCAGGCTAGTTACTTACTCACCCTGCCAACCGTTTGTCATTCCCTTCCATGGGCCACAACTAACCCCGTCGCTTTTTCAGAAAATGGAGATTTCTTCTCTGAAGAATCAAAATCAGGAGCTAAAGAAGTCATTAAACATCTGCCAACAGCAAATTATGCTCCTCGAATCAACCCTTTCTTCACGAGAATCTGAGGTCGAGAGGCTTAATGCTAAACATACGTCGCTGGCCTCATCCATGAGTAAATGCCTGAAGCAACACGAAGAAGCAGTGCAAGAATTTCAGCAGAAAGCAGCATCGATGCAGATAAGTTTTTCTGAGATGGAGCTTTCTAACGTGAGGCTCAAGCACAACCTCTCATCGCAGGAGGCCGCACTTGAGAGGCTTAACGCTGAACATGAAAATTTGGTCTCATCACTGATGCAAGACCTTAAATGCCATGAAGAGGCGAAGCTCAGATCAGAAGAGGAGTTGGCGGACTTGCAGACGAAGTTTTCTGAGTTGGAGCTCTGCAATGCCGTGCTGGAACAGAAGCTTGCGTCGAAGGACACAGAGCTTGAAACGGCCAAGGCTGAGCACAGAATTGCATTCACATCTATCCTTCAAGACCTTAAATTCCATCAAGACACCAAGCTTGAGATGGATGAGAAAGCAGCATCAATGAAGAGGAAGATTTCTGAGCTGGAGTTGCAGACCTCGACATTGAAAAAAGAAACAGGTACGCTAAGCAAGCAGACTGCAGCGTTAGGTTAAATTTGCCCCTCACTCATAACGTCGTGTTACAGATCAACTCAAGTCCGAACTGGATGAGTGTCGTGTTTATCAAAACGAAATGGAGTTGCAGACCTCGACATTGAAAAAAGAAACAGGTACGTTAAGCAAGCAGCTAGCATCGTTAAGCTAAAACTGCCCTCACCCACAATGTGGTGTTACAGATCGACTAAAGTCTGAACTGGATGAATGTCGCGCTCACCAAAAAGAGATGGAGCTGGTGAATAAGAGGTTGTTACACCATGAGAACACTTTCATACAAATGCGCAGTCTTGCCAAAAGACTACGCAATGAGAAGGTACTGGTACAACCACCACCTGTGTCCCCCTTTTTTATTATCTCTTCTCAAAGCCATTCTTTTTTTGCAGAATGATTTGCTTGAAAAGGTTGAACTGCTGAAATCAGCCAACGAAGAGCAAGAAGACTCCAACAGTTCACAAGTACAGGCACTTGCTCAGAAGCTGAGAATGGTAAGACTAGCTGCCGGTAGCTTGTGTTGTTCATTGGGGTGGGGCTTACAAGATCACTCCATTATGTCAGGCAAAGAGTGAGCTGGCAGTCTGGAAGGAGCGGTGCTTGAGTCAAAGTCTAAAATACACATCCACTGAAGACATAGAATGTTCCGCCTCTGCTGTAACTGGGCGGCTTAAGAAGGTACAATCCGGCTCATTTTTCTATACATTTTAGGGTGGCACAGGCTAACAGGCTGTTGTGTTTGTGAACAGCACCGGTCCTTTTCAAAACCAGCCAGCCCTTCATTGTCGTACTCTGCTGCATCAGTAAGTGCTATGGCCAGTCAGGCTGCCAATAATGGGGTGGGGTGGGGTGGTAGCAGGGATGAAAGGATGCATGATTGCGCTGCATTCTGAAAGCTGTCTTGTGATTCCAGATCCCATCACGTCCCCGTTGTGAGCAATCTGAAGGCACAGCTGCAACATTTTCCACGACGAATTATTCTCAATCCCAGGTAAGGTACATGTGTGTCGCCCTTTTTTCCTTCTATACAATGTCTAACCTGCATCTTTGCAGGGAGCATCTCGTTTGTCAAAACGCTCAAGAAAGGATCCACCATAAGAAGTGGTTCATTTTCAATCAATACTGGCCGAATTGCCAGCGAAACTTCAGAAGGCGATGCTCTTGTTTCGAGGAGCCCAGCACCACGTCTCATGTTGGCACCACAAAAATCACGGAATTAGTACTATTTTTCCAATGTGAACACTTGACTCCATCAACGCGTGTGCAACTTGCACATCTGCCATGGGGAGCTCCTGAAATATTATGGGCTTCAATTGTCCAGAGGAAATGAGTGGCCAAACGTTGGCCCCCACTTCCCTCACAATCTCTGTCTTCTGATCCAGTGGTCTGGACCTTAGGCCTGCAGCTGGAAAGGCAAGGAAGAAGGTATATATTACCATCATGAATGAAAACAAATAACACACAACAACCATATGGAGATCCTTACAATGCAGGGAAAGCCGCTTCATCAACATGCGTCCTAGATCCACACTGCCAATGCGACCACCCTGGAGGCCTATCACAACCATTCGGCCATCCTCCGCCAGGCAAGAAAGGTTCTTCTCCATGTAGGAAGCGCCCATGTTGTCAAGTATCACATTTACACCTGTCGACAGTCACAAAGTAACGATCCAATGCAGAAGAGGCAAAAGGCTGTCATATCTGAACCAGCCAAAAGCTGACTAGCTGATCAAGGATCCAAGACAAAACTGTTAAATCATCATTTGAACTACATAAAGGTAGCTAACATTACCTTTCCCACTAGTCTCCTCCTTGACACGTGCCAGAAAATCCTCCTTGCGATAGTTGATTGTTACGTTCGCACCCAGTTGACGGCACCGATCCAGCTTCTCTGTTGAGCCTGGCGATCGAAGAGGAAACAGAATTAGTCCGCTCTGCCCCAGTCATGCTAGATCTTGCACTTGCACCCCCAAGGGACATAGACACTATGAAAAGTACATATAATGAACATGGTACAAGTGAACAGATGTACCACATCAGCTCAGAGAATTGCTACTGCTCTTCTTGATTTCTTGTCGCTTACCAGCTGTACAGAAGACACGACTTTCGAGCAGTTTCGCCAACTGAATAGCAAATGTACCAATACCACTGGATCCACCATGCACCAGAAACGACTCTCCAGGCTGCAGCTTCGCCATCATGAAGACAGTGGACCACACCGTGCATGCAGCCTCCGGTAGAGCTGCAGCGTCCACTAGCGGCACACCGTCTGGCACTGGAAGAATCTGGGACTCAGGTACTGATACATACTCGGCGTATCCACCCCCAGCCAGCAGTGCACAGACCTAAGCAAGGGTAAAGTGGAGACAATAAAGTACCACAAAGAAAGGATAGCTTAAGTCAGGCGTGTCGAGGGACAATACCGACGGTGATTTAGGAATCGGTATGTATTCACCTGATCGCCAACCTTCCAGCGTGTTACGTGAGAGCCAACCGACTCGACAGTGCCAGAGCACTCTAGACCAAGAATGGGTGATGCACCTGAGAATAGAGAAATTAAAAGGGGAGAAAAACAGTTCCATTTCAGGAAACAAACAGAAAAAAAAATGTGCAAATGGGTTTGTGCACCCACAGGACCGTGCTCACTCTGTGCACCCAAGTGTGTGACCATATCTGAAGAGTGTGATGATGCAAGGAGAAATACTTATAAACGCACCGACCTTTAGGTGGAGGATAGGATCCCAGGCGTTGCATGATATCGGCTCTATTCAAAGCAGTAGCAGCGACACGAATCAGCACCTCCCCTTCCCGAACCTCAGGCATCGGAACCTCCCGAACCTGGAGGACCTCTGCACCTCCAGGCTCGTCAAAAACAACAGCCTTCATGTGGGCCTTGGATCGAAGAGAGGACGAATGGAGGTGGGATGAAACGGATAACGGAAACGATGGAGAAGTGTAGAGAAAGGGAGGAGAATGAGATGTTAACGCGCGGGTTTCAACGCTGTGGCTAGGGGGTCTGCAGGAGGCAAGAAGCCGGAATTGTTTTACATACGTTGGAGGTGATTCGTGTTGAGTAAGACGAGGAAGAAAGGGAGATGGCGGGAAAGGATTGAGGTCGGTTCGAGGAGATAGGTCCGGCTTGAAGCTTGCAAGCAATGCTGTTGGTCTAGGCGCTGTTCTTGTTCGGTCCGACAGTCCGAGTCTCGACAGTGGTAGTAACGCTGACGATTCAGATGATATTGGGGGAGAGATTGATGGCAGTGGGGCGCGGAGAAACCGGCGAGCAGCGGGAAGAAATCTGACCAAGGAGATAAGACGGGGAAGGGAAGCGGGGAGGGGAGGGGGGGGCACGAACAGTTTGGTGGTCAAGGGCGGAAGAGGGTCAGGGAGAGTGAGTGAAGAGGGGGAAAAGGTGGTGGGGTTGTGTGGAGGTATGCCGCGAAGTAAAGGACTTCCACGAAGAGTGAGACATCCTTGGTCAAAGTGTGGAAACTCTCGCGAGAAGAAGAACGAGAGAAAGGCATTGCGGAATCCGACGGCCCTCCAGCATTGCGAGCAAGAGTGTATCAGGCCCGTCGACTGGGCTGCTGCAGCAAAGCTCCCAGTAATCAGATAATGAATGCGTCCCGTTCAAAAAGAAAAAAAAAAACAAAAAAAAAAAAGGAAATGGGGACTGAATTCCATACTGCATAGCTCGCTGAATCATAACTTGCTGGCGGATCTCGCTGCAAGAACTGGAGGAAGAATCGACCAGATAGAAGCTGGCGAACAGCGGTTTGAAAGGCACCGCATATACCGAACGAACCCTGTCGCGCTCGATAAGCTTGTGGCTAGGATGAAGGCAGCCCGAAAGCACGTGCTTACGTGTTGCACTGTAAGCGGTGCTTCTTCCCTGGTCTCGACAAATGCGCCCGGAAAATAAAGCGCGTTGACAAGATTCCTTCGGTAGGATAGTTGGGACTAGGGGCCAGGGAAGAGCAACACGAATCTGCTCCTTCGCTGGTATGCTGTTGCAATGGTCGCCATTTGGGTTTGAGCTTTCGCGAAGAGGTGAACGACTGGAATTGCGAAGTAAACGACTGGAATTGCGAATAAAATACCCCGATAGAACGTCGGTGTGGTTCACATTTTCCAGGCACATGAATAAAAAATTGAAGAGCAAATACACCAAATAGACGAGACTTTCCATTCATGTTGTGGCTCAAATATGCTCTTTGCTAAGCTTAATCAGGAGCTTGCAAGTGCGCCGATTATGACCAGGCACATGAATAAAAAATTGAAGAGCATATACACCAAATACACGAGACTTTCCATTCATGTTGTGGCTCAAATATGCTCTTTGCTAAGCTTAATCAGGAGCTCGCAAGTGCGCCGATTATGACCAGCACTGCCACATTTAGAGCACCGAATAAGCCTGTGCAGCTCTTTCCCTGCCGTGACCTCCAATGTGGCTGCCAAAACAGGTGTCACTCGTTTGCTCATTCTGGAATCCTCAGGGAGGACCTTGCAGGATCGACGATTATGTCCGAGTTCCCCACACCTTGAGCACTGCATAAGCTTCCGCAAACCTTTTTTTTTACGATCTTGCTTCACATGCCCCAACGAGGGACAGAAGTTTCTTCGATGCCCAGGCTGCCCACAAGCTTTACAATGAAACGCCACACCTGGCATGGAAGGGATGGAAGGGGTGGATGGGATGGAAAGACACACGACACAACAAAATGTAAAAACAGGGGAGATTTAGGCACGAACATGATCAGGATAAAAAAAGGATTGCAGCCAAGAACAGGACCTGCACCTGTCTTGACTTGGCTGATAAGCTGCCTGAATGCAGGGTCAGCAAAACGCTGCTTGGCCCGGGCTGAAATTTTGGATGGAGCATTCTTCTCGTAGTATCCTTTCTGAAAAATCCGAAGGGTGAAAAAGGGAAAGTGAAAGTCAAGGCAGGAAATACAGTTCATGGGAAGGTGGTAATACAATTGTCACGCACTGGTAGTAAGGCTGTGCTCCTACACATCTCATCAGACGTGGGCGTAACAGTGCAAATTCTATGCGAGTTGGTTGGTTTGTGAATTCTCATGTACACACGCATCAGGGAGAACAAACATACACCTTCTGAAGGACCATGCAAAAGTTGGAACATGTTTGAAAAGCAGACCAACATAGATTGACACAGACTGACACTAAACTGACCATCATTGCTGCCCGCAACCTTTCTTTCCTTTCCGGGTCCGCAAATCTCTCTCTAGCAGTCCTTGACAGGCGCCCAGTTCTCCTCTCTAACGCTCTCAACGCCTCACTAATCCTCCTCCTCTCCTCCTCTGACCTTGGCCCATACACTCTCTTCATCTGCTGCCTCCTCCTCCTTCTCTCTAGCAACTCAGCCTCCACTGCAGCGTCTGCAGCCGCTTCTGCCTCTTCGTCCCCCTCTATAATCACCTGCCCCCCCGGCCATGGCAGATACAAGAACAGGCTTCTGCTGCTGGGATTAGCGCCACTGCTGCTGCTACTACTGCTGCTGGTGTCTGTGTTGGTGCTTGTACCTGACACATAATTACTGCTATGAACAGCCCTGCTGCTGGGGGGGCTCTCATTAGCACTCCGTGTGTTCATGCCACTACCACCCACGCCCTGGAACACTCCGTTTTCGATAAGAGGGCCTCCCCTGCCGCCCCTGCTGTTGGGCAATGCAGCCTGCCATCGACCCAGCAGCTCGTGGCCTGGAGGGACATGTGGCACAAGACGACTGGCTGTGCGCAACCGCCTCTGTCTCTGGAGAGTTCGTCTATCCGGTTCCTCCACTTGCTGCGTTGACGGTAGGCGGGGGTCTCCGCTCGCGGTGCTTCCACTGCTGCCGCTATGGTTGCTTTGGATTCTTCCGCTGTCGCTTCTCCAGGTGTTGCTGTTGTTATTGTTGCTGCTGCTGCTGCTGCTACCGCCGCCGCCGACACAAATCTCTTCGGAATCTCCCTTGGCACCATCACGAATGCTGTTAACCACGCCACTGACGCGTCTGTCTGCTAATCCTCGTTGTCTCCTCCATCTCAAATTGCCAGAAAACGGTTCTTTGAGGCCACGTGCCGACGCTTTGAGAGTTTTTCCGGCGGATATCAATCCAGCTGCATAAACGGCCGAAACCGTCAAGTTCTCCGTCACCGTCATATGATCGCGTTTGTCGTTCAGAAGTGCCCGTACACTTCTACCGCTTCTCCTTGTCTTCCGTCCCATTCCCATGCCTGAAATATTCGCGCCAAATCCTCCTCCACAAGAGCTTGTAATCGTGTCGCTGAAGCTGCTGATTGAGCTCGGATTCCTGAGTCTGCCGGAGCTGGAAAGTCCGTAATAGAATCCATGGGTGCAGCGCGACTGACGGTCATCGACGCAACAAAATTGGGTATGCGTTGACGCCGGAACTCTTAATCTGTCGGTTTCGGTGAAAAGACTGAGCCTCAAGCCGTGGATTGTGAAAGATGCAGGTCGCGAGTGGAAGGGAGAATGGCGATTGGTTTGTAAGATCGCGAATGAGGAGGTACGAGCAGTGCAGAGCATGGCAGACCCACCACACAGTGAAGGCTGCTACAAGGCAGGACCGCTACCGATATCGCAGACGAGTTTAGGAGACTGAAGTTGAGGAGATACGTAACTCGCTAACGGCCAAGTAACAACCTAGAAGCCGTGGGTAGTGCAAGATAGTCAACTCTGCTGGAAAATGTGCCAACATGAAGGAACGTCGAATGGAAAGGAACACGCAGAAGGGAAGAACTGCTCGGAACAAGAGGTTACGCGAAGGACAGATATTTCTCTGACGATATTCGCGAAAGTTACGCGCTCAAATGTGGAAGCAGGCGATATGTTTGTTTAGGTATTCCTCCAGAAGCAGCATCGCTAGTATTCATGAGCTTTCAGTCCACATGTTTTGTTTACATATATGCAGTTTTATATCTTCTCCTGCGTGGTTTCCTTCCAAGCCAAACTCCATTGCTGCAATTTCCTTTTTGATCAGGATCAAGGCACTACTGCGATTTTCTCCGGCTAGCACCACCTAGCCTTCTCTTCTCGTAGGTCGTTCCCTTGCATCGCTCGGAGTTTGACCTTCCGATCTCGTCGTTAGCGCAGGTTCGCAGGTCGCATCTTTATCTCTGATATCTCTTCCGGCTCGCGAATTGTCCATTTCCGGGCTATAACTTTGTTGTACCAATTGTCCAACCTTTCCCCGTTTCTACCAGCGAAGTCGTACGATCAGTCGTTCTCGGACAATGGATGAGAACCTTTACGACGAGTTTGGAAACTACATCGGGCCGGAAATTGCGTCCGATGAGGAAGAAGAAGAGGAAGAGGAGGAGCAGGAGCAGGAACTAGCAGACGGCGAAGACGGAGCAGGAGGCGAAATCGTAGGGATGGAAGAAGACGAAGAGGAGCCGGATAACGAGGGAGCGGTGATTTTAGCCGAGGATAAAAAATATTACCCGACGGCGATCGAGGTGTACGGCGAGGACGTCGAAACCCTAGTCGAGGACGAAGACGCTCAGCCGTTAGAAGAGCCGATCGTCAAGCCGGTCCGGCAGTTCAAATTCGAGGTGGCTTCGAAAGGCGTGCTCGCGACGTACGTGTCGACAGATTTCATCGTCGGACTGATGAAAAATCCAACCCTGGTCCGAAACGTGGCCCTAGCAGGCCATCTCCACGCGGGAAAAACCCTTCTCATGGATATGCTCGTCGAGGCGACGCATCCTGACGTGGTAACGTTAAATCCGGAGAGCCAGCGGCACATGCGATTCACGGATACGCGCGTGGACGAGCAGCAGCGGATGATCAGCATCAAGGCGGTTCCGATGTCGCTCGTGCTGGAGGATTCGGCGGGGAAGTCGTATCTGTGCAATGTGGTGGACACGCCCGGGCATGTGAACTTCTCAGATGAGATGACTGCCGGCATGCGCCTGGCGGACGGCGTGGTGCTGGTCGTTGACGCCGTGGAAGGAGTCATGGTGAGATATAGGCTCGGGATTGGTGAGAAATAAGTCTTGACCTCAGAACGTGAGGTGCAGAGTCACTAGTTAGTCGGGAATTTCTAGTCACGGCAAGCCAAAGTATTGGTAGTGGTGCATGCCCTTTTCACTCTCCCTTTCCTCTCATTCTCCACTTTCCGCCCTGACTGTGCTCCCTGGTTCTCAGGTGAACACGGAGCGAGCACTGAAGCATGCATTGCAGCAGGGCCTGGCCATAACGCTCTGCATCAACAAGGTGCATCTCTCTCTTTTCCCGTCTTGTTTGGCCACCACTAGTCTGTTTCTGTCACGTTCAAAACAGTACTTCTCGTTGTTCGTTTTCCGCCTCCCTTCCTCTTGCCCCTTCACTGCTCTACTCTCATCACGACCTTTGCACACTTGGGCCCTCTCCACCTCTCTTTATCGCCTCCTTTCGATTTCCTCCTCTCCATCCCCCCCCTCTCTCTCCCCTTCCGCTACCCCCTTGTCAGGTGGACCGCCTAATTACAGAGCTCAAGCTCCCCCCCCCAGACGCCTATCACAAGCTGCGCCACACTTTGGAGGAAATCAACGCCCTCATCGCCTCCTATGCTCCTGCCGCCATGGCCGCCCGAACCTCCGGCTCAGGCTCGGCAATCGTCTCAGCTGCCATGCCTTCCGAAGCTCCCCAGCTGGACCCGGTCCTCGGAAACGTCTGTTTTGCCTCTGCTGCTGCTGGCTGGTCCTTCACCCTCCTTTCCTTCGCCCGGCTTTACACCCAAACTCACGGGGTAAATTTCGATCCTGAACAGCTCGCGAAGCGGCTGTGGGGTGACCTGTATTATCACCCTGACACCAGATCCTTCCGAAGGAAGCCACCCGCGGGCGGTGGCGAGCGGACGTTTGTGACGTTTGTCCTGGAGCCGCTGTATAAGCTGTACTCTCAGGTGGTCGGGGAGCATAAGAAGAGCGTAGAGGCTACTCTGGGCGAGCTTGGGGTGTCCCTCCGTCCTTCTACCTACAAAATGAATGTAAAGCCGCTGCTGAAGGCTGCTATAGGGGCGGTTTTAGGGGGCGGCGCGGGGGGTTTGGCAGATATGATCATCCGGCATTTGCCGTCCGCCAAGGCTGCTGCTCCGGTGAAGGTCCAGACGACGTACACCGGCCCGCTGGTGGGCAAACGGGCGGCTGCGATGCTGTCCTGCAGCGCGAAGCGACGAGGGCCGTTGATGGTGCATGTGACTAAGCTGTACCCGAAACCAGACTGCTCAGCGTTTGATGCCCTGGGGAGAGTGATGTGTGGGACTCTTAGAACTGGGCAGACGGTTAGGGTTTTGGGAGAGGCGTATTCGCCTGATGATGAAGAGGATATGGCTGTGAAGGTGGTCACAAAGCTGTGGTTATACCAGGCTAGGTACAGGGTGCCGATTTCGTCTGCTCCGGCTGGCTCCTGGGTGCTTATAGAGGGAGTGGACGCGTCTATAACGAAGACTGCGACCCTCTGTGAGGAGTTTGGCCAGCAGGGGGGGTACGGGGGTGCGGAGGACGAGGATGAGGAGGAGGCGGGGGGGAAGAAGGCCGGAGCAGGAGCAGGGGGGCGGTGGGGCGGAGCAGGAGGAGGAAGAGGAGGAGGAGGAAGAGGAGGACGACGAGGATGTTTTTATCATCGCGCCGTTGAAATTCAACACGGTGTCGGTGGTGAAAGTGGCAACAGAGCCTCTGAACCCCTCAGAGCTGCCCAAGATGGTGGAGGGGCTGAGGAAGATCAGCAAGAGCTACCCGCTGGCCGTGACAAGGGTGGAGGAGTCTGGGGAGCACACGGTGCTGGGGACGGGGGAGCTGTTCCTGGACTCTGTCATGAAGGACCTGAGAGACCTGTTCTCTGAGGTGGAAGTCAAGGTGAGCTGAGGGGGCCTTGGGTTTTCTGGCAGAGAAGGGCAGTAGTTTAGGGGTGTCAGGGGGTTTGGGTGTGCTGGGATTTATAGGGGGTGATAGATGGTGGAGGGGCTGAGGAAGATCAGCAAGAGCTACCCGCTGGCCGTCACGAGGGTGGAGGAGTCGGGCGAGCACACAGTGCTGGGCACTGGCGAGCTGTTCCTGGATTCGGTGATGAAAGACCTGAGGAACCTGTTCTCAGAGGTGGAAGTCAAGGTGAGCTGAGGGGCGTGGGACGTCGGGGTTGCAAGAGGGTGGGGTTAAAGGCTGGGGTTCAGGAGGGTGGGTGGGGAACACACTTTGCTGGGCACGGGGGGAGCTGTTTTTGGACTCAGTGATGAAAGACCGAAAGACTTGTTCTCTGAAGTGGAAGTTAAGGTTACTACGCCTTGGGGTTTGGGGGTTACACAGGTTACAGGGGCTTAAGGGTTTTAGCCGGGCTGGGAGTTGGGAGGGTGGAGGAGTGGGGGGAACACACGGTGCTGGGCATGGGAGAAGTGCCCTTGGATTCTGTCTAACACGGGATACGAATGTACCCTTGTTCTTCGAGGTGGATTTCAAGGTGAGTAGGACTTGGGGTTTGTGGGGTTTGAGGGGTTTAGGGGTTGGAGCTCGGCTGGGCGGCTGTGACAACGAGGGTGGCGGAGTCGGGCAAGCATACATAAAGAGCTGGGCATGGGGGAGCTGTTTCTCGACTCCTGCATGAAGGAGCCTACAAGCCTGTTTCCCACGGGGCTTGGGTTTGGCTGGGTTGGCCGTGCCTGAGAGTTTTGGGAATTCTCAGTCGGCTCATGCATTCCTTCCGCCCTTTTCCCTCCTGCCTCCGCGTTTTCTGCCCTCGCCTTTCCTGCTGGCAGGTTGCGGATCCGGTGGTGTCCTTCTGTGAAACCGTTGTGGAAACTTCCTCCCTCAAGTGCTTTGCTGAGACTCCCAACAAGAAGAACAAGATCACCATGGTATGCGTGTCTGTGGGCAAATGCATGTCTAGCTGCAACGCGATGTGCACTTGGTGCTTGCGCAGGAACCCACGGTGATGTGTATTTCGGAGGGAGTTCCTCCCCTCAGCCGCCCATTTTCCTGTCTCATTTACTTCGTTCTCCCTCTGCTCTCAGATCGCGGAGCCCATGGAGAAGGGTCTGGCAGAGGATCTTGAGAGCGGGGCGGTATCTCTGGATTGGCCCAAGAAGCGCATGGCTGAGTTCCTCCCCTCACTCCCCCTTTCTCCTGTCTACTCCCTTTCTCTCCCTTTCTCCCCACACTCTCAGATCGCGAGCCCATGGAGAAGAGTCTCGCAGAGGACTTAGAGAGCGGCGCAGTGTTGCTGGAGGGCGGATTTCCCCCCTTCACCCCCCCCCTCTCCTGTCTCTTTTACCTTATCCGCCCTCCCCTCTCAGATCGCGGAGCCCATGGAGAAAGGCCTGGCAGAGGATCTCGAGAGCGGCGCGGTGTCCCTGGACTGGCCCAAGAAGCGCATGGCGGAGTTCTTTCAGACCAAGTACGACTGGGACCTGCTGGCTGCCCGCTCCATCTGGGCCTTTGGTCCCGACCGACAGGTGGGTGATGATGGGTGGGGTTGGTTGGGGGTGGGGTGGGTGTTGGGTCGGGGGTGGGGGATGGGGGGTGTTGGGTTGCAAGCGGTGGATGGTGGTGGCGGGTGGTGGGTGGCGTGGGTTGTGGCTGGGTTTCGTTCTTCCTCGTGGTTGGGTCCTGTTGAGTTGACTCGATTCTCACCTGCTTCCTGCCCGCTCCATCTGGGCGTTCGGGCCCGATGCGATGGCTGGCTGATGATGTTGGGTAGTGGAACGGCTCTGTGGAGCATGGGAAAAGAGGAAAACAGCCTCATGTTACCACCTCCGGATTAGTGTGCTGCGAAAAAATCAATGGGGCGGCAAGGCGGAACTGTTTTCACCTCGAAATTCCGTTCCTCCTTGCGACCGCTCTTTCACCCCTGCTGTCTAGCTCGCTTGTGAATCCAGCTTTTGAAGCTGCCTCAGAGTAAGTTGAGGGACTTGACCCCTGGAGTGTTAAGCGTTGAAGCTTCCAGCTCAACCCATTGCATCTCATCTCATCCCATCCCATTCCCACCCTCTTCCCCATTCTTCCCCTCTAACCCCTTCTCCCACTCTCAGGGTCCCAACATCCTGGTGAACTACAATCTCCCCAGAGAGGTGGACAAGAACCTCCTTGCTGCCGTCAAAGGGGGTGGGGAGGAGAGAACACTTATTTCTCCTCTGCACCTTCTTCCCTCCTCCCCACCCCCTTTCTCTTCTGTGTTCTCTCGCTATTTCTATCTGTCCCTTCCCTTCCGCCACTCTCAGGGTCCCAACATCCTGGTGAACGACACTCTTCCCAGCGAGGTGGACAAGAATCTGCTGGCTGCTGTCAAGGAGTCCGTCATCCAAGGGTGAGCTGCTGCTGCCTCTGTTCGTTTTCTCCCCTTCACGAGATCAAGAAGCTCCCACCTTTCCCAAGCCACCAGGTTTAGCAGCTCTAGCAGCTCTAGAAGTTCTAGCAGCTCTAGAAGCTCTAGCAGCTCTAGAAGCTCTAGCAGCTCTAGAAGCTCTAGCAGCTCTAGAAGCTCTAGCAGCTCTAGAAGCTCTAGCAGCTGCATTCTTCTCCACCAGCTCTCATCTATGGTCGCTGTAGCATGGACGAGCTCTCGTGTTGCGCATGCATACATATGTTTGCGCCGGCCACACCCCTTTCTCTAGCCCACTGCCGCTTTGTTTTCTACAGCTTCCAGTGGGGAGCACGTGAGGGCCCTCTGTGCGATGAGCCCATGCGAAACGTGTGTTTCCGTCTGCTGGATGCTCTGGTGGCGCCGGACCCACTCTTTCCTCGGCCTGTCCCTCCTGGTGTCCTTCTCCCCGCCCTGCAGATTCCAATGGGGAGCAAGGGAAGGCCCCCTGTGCGATGAGCCCATGCGAAACGTGCGTTTCCGTCTGCTGGATGCTCTGGTAGCGCCGGATCCGTTGCAGCGGGGAGGTGGGCAGGTCATCCCCACGTCCCGCCGCGTTGCATACTCTGCTTTCCTCATGGCCTCGCCTCGCCTCATGGAACCTGTTTATTTTGTGGAGGTGAGTTACTGGTGGTGGGTTTGTGGTTTGATTTGATCACGCACCATGGAGGAGGGGGGCTGGCAGGTCATCCCCACGTCCTGCTGCGTGGCCTACTCTGCTTTCCTCATGGCCTCGCCTCGCCTCATGGAACCCGTTTACTTTGTGGAGTTGAGTGCATTCGCACAGTGGTGTGTTACTGGTAAGTTGCTGGGTACAGTGGTTTGAAGGTTAAACATGCAGCAAGAGGGGCCGTCATGATAAGGTCTTTTTAGAATTATAAACAAAAAGTAAGGTCTGTAGGCATGGGATCTACACAGTCCTGTCATGCTGTCTGCAGTCGATATGGAACGTCCTCAACGCTCCTCCCGTTCCTCCCCTCCCAAGCACTACCCCCCGTGACCTGGGCTTCAGATCCAGACCCCAGCAGACTGCATGTCTGCCATCTACACGGTGCTGTCGCGCCCTTTGGTGTTCCCACCAACTTATCACCTGTCGTCTTCTCTCCCTGCCACTGCTCCGCTACTGTGTTCCGCTTTTACAGATCCAGACCCCTGCAGACTGCATGTCGGCAATCTTCACGGTGCTGTCGCGCACTAAGATGTTTCCATCTGGCTACTGTTGTCATCTTCAACCCTCCCCACCTCTCTCCATTGTCTTCGCTGCCCTTCAGATCCAGACCCCAGCGGACTGCATGTCAGCAATCTACACGGTCTTGTCGCGCCGCCGCGGCCACGTGACAAGCGATGCTGCCAAGGCCGGCACTCCCGCCTACATTGTCAAGGTGTGCTTGGACAAGGCAATGTGTGCATGTGATGTTGTGGGCTGTTTGAACTAGCCTTTGTTGGTATTTTCGCTGTTGTGGCCACGTGACGAGCGATGCTGCCAAGGCCGGCACTCCCGCCTACATTGTCAAGGTGTGCTTGGACAAGGCAATGTGTGCATGTGATGTTGTGGGCTGTTTGAACTAGCCTTTGTTGGTATTTTCGCTGTTGTGGCCACGTGACGAGCGATGCTGCCAAGGCCGGCACTCCCGCCTACATTGTCAAGGTGCTGTCTTGTACTCTCATCATGTTTCCAAGGTGTTAAGGTGATGTGTGCGCGTAGTAGCATGTTCCCGTAGTGACATGAGTGAGTACTCTTTGCTGTCGAGCCGTCCGGACCACGTTACTGGCGATGCAGCGAAGGCAGGCACCCCCACCTACATTGTCCCCTGGGCCTTCTGTGTCTCTGTCTTACGTTTTCCCGTCGTCAACCTCCCTCCTGTACCTTTCTGCTCCCTCTGTCCCGCCCCCTCCTCCCTCAGGCCATCCTGCCAGTGATCGAGTCCTTTGGCTTTGAGACTGACCTGCGCTATCACACACAAGGGCAGGCCTTCTGCCTCTCTGTGTTTGACCACTGGGCTGTTGTGCTGGGTGACCCCTCTCAACAAGAGATGCAGTGTTAATTGAGTGGTCTTAATTGAATCCCCCCCTCCTCCCGCCCTCCCTGCTTCCTGTGCTGTGCCTCCCTCAGGCCATTCTGCCAGTGATCGAGTCGTTTGGTTTTGAGACCGATCTGCGCTATCACACGCAGGGGCAGGCCTTCTGTCTCTCTGTGTTTGACCACTGGGCTGTGGTGCCCGGGGACCCTCTCGACAAGAGTGTGGTGCTGCACCCGCTAGAGCCTGCCCCTGCTCAGCATCTAGCCCGAGAGTTTATGGTCAAAACGAGGCGGAGAAAGGTGAGAGCAGAGGTGGGAGAGAGTGAAAAGGTGAGTTGAGAGTTCGTGGTGGGGAAGGGGGAAATGTGGGGAAAGGGGGAAGGGTCGAGAGGTTGTTGTGCAGGCCTTCTGCCTCTCTGTGTTTGATCACTGGGCTGTGGTGCTGGGGGACCCTATCGACAAGAGCCTCGTGCTGCACCCTCTTGAGCCGGCTGCTGTTCAGCGCCTTGCGAGAGAGTTCATGGTCAAAACAAGGCAGAGAAAGATGAGGAGAAGGGGAAGGAAGAGTGGATTGGTGTGAGTTTGTGGTTCGGGTCGAACAAGCCTGAATGGTTTTTCTTCTGTGTGGCTGTCTTTTACTACTGGGCTGTGGTGCCGGGGGACCTTTTTGACAAGAGTGTCATGCTGCACCCACTAGAGCCAGCCTGCTGCCAGCCATTGCTCAGCACCTAACCCGAGAGTTCATGGTCGAAATGAGGCGGAAAAAGGTGATAAGAACGGTGTGAGAAGGGGGACTGGAGGGCGTGAGATTCTGTGGGGTGGGCCTTGTATGTCTCATATCTGCAACCAGGAGGCCATGGCCCATGGCGGTGCGGGCCGAACCTCTAGAGAAGTTCATTGTACTGTGCAGCCGCCATGATGCTTTTGACAAGGACTCAGCTCTTTTTGGGTTCCCTCCCTACTGACTTGCTTCTTCGTGTCTGTCGTCTCAGGGTATGAGTGAGGATGTGAGCATCAACAAATTCTTCGACGATCCTATGCTTCTGGAGCTGGCTCGGCAAGACGCTGAGTTGCAACAAATCCTTTGAGGTGGCTTGGCAACACACTGACCTGGCTGGGCTGTTTTTCTAGTTCCCTACCGATGGGTATGAGTGAGGACGTGCGCATCCTGGAACCACCAACCCTCCCTCCATCACTTCTCAATAGGGTCCCTCCTTCCGCGCTCCCTGTCTCTGTTCATGTTGCGCACTTGCACACTGCCATGGCGTGGTTTAGAATTGCAATTACCGGTTTACCTCTCAATATGAGAACGTCAGCAGCAGTATCAACCAGCATGGCCAACAAGCGTAGCCATGGAAACATGTTTCAGTGCATGTCCGCGTGAACAGCAACTAATTTACAAAAGTATGACTGAAGCACACCTGACAGGCCAAATGGCCATTGTTCAACTTCTTCACTCCACAAGCGAGTGGCCATGGCATTGTGATTCACTACCACCATGCCACCTATGGCGTAGAAGCGACCCATGCATGCGTGTGACATGCCCCACCCAACCCACAGCCACAACCCCCTCTCTACTCCACACAAGTGGCCATGGCAATGTAATTCACTGCCATGTCATCTCTTGAGAGATTCCACCTGTTGCTGATTGGGTCGTACACCATGCCACGTGTCTCCGCCAGCTGGTGGGTCGGGAGAGCAAGGCAGGGGAGGGGATAAGAGAACACCCACACCGGATTAAGTCAGAGCTTTGAGTCGACTCAGATGGCAGGACAGAGGTAGCGCTGCAGGCATGGAGGGTCTGTTGGAGAGGAGATAGAGTGAACAGAGTCCACTGAGAACCTGGCAAGTTGCAGCAGGGTGATTCTGAGATTTTTTGGAACACCCTGCAATTTTTTTAGAGTTCCCAAAACACCCTGCCGGCAGGGACAACTGTTTGGAGTGGAGATAGAGGTCCACCAAAATCCTGGCTCGCCACAGCAACAGCGTCAGACATGGGTAAATGCACGAAGGTATGCTGATCATGGGCTTTGCTTTGCAAAAGTAATGTGGCGTTACATTTCTTCCCTTGGCTGCACCCCTCAGAAGCATGCAGCTCATCTGGAAGTTGGTTCGTCGCAGCATAAGGGCGAGTTCCAAAGGGGTGATTGGGTCTGCTAAGCCTTGAACTATGAAATGAACATTACCGGTATGAAAATTACCTTTTCCCACATGCACTCCTTAAAGAAGTTGCAGCTCACCTGGAAGTTGGTTCGTCGCAGCATGAGGGCAAGCTCCAAAGGGGTAATGAACTTATTCCAATCGTGAGTTCCCCGGGGTACCTGCCATAAGCGAGGGTGATTAAAATCAGGGTGATACTTTGTGAAGCAACAACTACAACGATGACGACGGCAACAACAACGGCAATGAAAATTAGAAGCCTGACAACGCGACGAAGTCAGTCCATTTTTTAGGTAACAACGCAGTAGTACAGAGGCACACTCTATTGGACGGGGAGAAGAGAGGCATGCAGTAGAGAGAATTTACATGGAGCAAGAAAGAATATAGAAACACAGGAAAAAGGAACAGATTTTAGTAGAATAAAGTACGTACACGAAAGAAAATGTACATACTATAGAGAGGATGTACTCGGCAGCTGCGATGGCGAGAGCAAAGGAGCGAGCAGTGCGATTGATGGTGGAGAGGAAAAGCATGCCTCCGGGGTTGGGGGTTGAAGGTGGGGATGTTGGTACAGGCGGAGGTGTTGGTGTGGGTGGGGGTGTTGATGTGGGTGGAGAGGTAGTGGATGGTGGCATGGGCATGGATGGGGATGGGGCGATTTGTGCTGTGGAAGTTTGGGAAGGAGATGCATAAGATGGGGTGAGGGGGGAGGAAGGAGCGGAGGGTGGAGTGGGTCGGCAGAGAGATGTGAGGGTGCGGACGAAGGCAGCAGGATCCGCCACATGCTCGATCACCTGGGCAGAAAGAAGCGAGGGAAGAACAAAAGAGGCGAAATGAAGGTGCGCAATTCCTGCACAGATGTCGAGAGCAGAGAGCAGGGAGAGCAGAGAGCAGCAGGAATGAGGGGAAACGCGAGCAAGGAATAACCAGCTGCAAGATCAAGAGTTGATCCCCAAGATCAGTTCAACAAGATGTTTAACACCTACTCTCACTATCCCCAAATGTGTGATGCTCTACTCTCCACATACTCATCATGTGACACATATTGGGCTAACAAGCGTAAAGGCACCCCAGCTAGGCATCAATTAGGTATCAGTTGACTCCTCTCCCAGTGAAAGTTTATGCTTACGTGGGCTAACATATGTAAGGCCCCCAGCTCGGATTCGCCTTACTTCAGCTCATCTCACCTCACCTCATCTGACCTCACGTCACCCCACCTCACCACACCTCACCTCGCCTCACCTCAACTGACCGTACCGTACCGCACCTCACCTCACCTCCAATGAGAGCACGGCATCAAAGGTAGCCCCCTGTGTTGCAAGTTCCTCTGCACTCGATAGACAGATGCGAGGGGAGGAGAGAAGCGAGGAGCGGGCAGGGAGAAGATAGAAGAGAGTGGAAACGGAGAGTGCTGAGAAAGGGAGAGGGGGTAAACTGCGAGCAGATGACAAGCAAGGGGAGAATTGGCGGTCATTCGAATGATGATCCAAAAGAAAGGGGATACCTGCAGAGATGCACTTGTAAGATATGGATCGGGTGGTAGGATCTCTTGCCTGCACACACGTACGTATACACGCATGAAGCATGCATCGAGAGACACTCCAAACCAAGTGACGTGTGATTGCTTTGTGGCACTGGGGAAATGCATCAAAAGAGACGCACAGCATGAGCAGCAGCCACTTGTGTGTTGACACGTGTCACATCAACACCTGTCACTGTAGCTCCCAAGCGAGCCAGCGGCTGCAGAAAACGACACAAGGGAGGGCGGCCCGGGCCCGGAGGGAGTTGGTTGGGATGCAGTTTGGAAGGTGAGAGGAAGCGAGAACGAAGGGAGAAGAAAGCGAACAAGGTTAAGAACAGATGTGACATAAGCAGCTGTAACGCAGCAGCGCCAAGGTGAAAGTAAGAAACAGCTATGGAAGAAGCAAATGAAACGAAAAAACAGCAAGGGCAATGGGCAACGTTCACTGAGACACTTGCCTTGTAGGTAGCACACCAATCGTGCTCACCTCACACAGAAGCCCCCCCCCACAACCCACGTCAAGCACTCTCAGCCCTTCCAGTGGGCGAGCAGAGTCTGCATTCAGACTGACGGGCAGGTGGAGAGGGAAGGAAGGAATGACTGCGGTCAGAATTATGGATGAAACGTACTCAAATGACAATTGAACGTGTGTCATCGCATGGCATGGCATGGCATGGCATGGCATGGCATGGCATGGTATGGCATGGCATGGCATGGTATGGCATGGCATGGCATGGCATGGCATGGCATGGTATGGCATGGCATGGCATGGAATGGCATGGCATGGCATGGCATGGTATGGCATGGCATGGTATGGTATGGCATGGCATGGTATGGTATGGCATGGCATGGTATGGTATGGCATGGCATGGCATGGCATGGTATGGCATGGCATGGCATGGTATGGTATGGCATGGCATGGTATGGTATGGCATGGCATGGTATGGTATGGCATGGCATGGCATGGTATGGTATGGCATGGCATGGTATGGCATGGCATGGCATGTATGGTATGGTTTGGCAGGGTGTGGTATGGTATGGTATGGTATGGTATGGCATGGCATGGTGGAAGCGGAGAAAGAAGCAATGGGCCAGATGTTGCAAGTTGCTGAAGCCAGGTCTTGGATATGAGAGCATGGTCACACTCGTGTATCTCGACTCTCTCACAAACTCCGAACTCCTCTCACTCATAAGTTCTCTCTCTCCTTACCCCTCGCTCACCCAAAGTGCCGACACATGGCATCACGCACGAACGCCACGCGGGCAGCTGACATGGCATGCAGTGGCGCATGTGGGCCCCTGCGGTCCCACCTGGATGGGGAGGGATGGGGAAGGTTGGGGAGGGATTGGGGGGGATTGGGAGAGCGGCAAGCCATTGTGAAAGCTGTGTGGTTATCTCATGAGCGAAATGGAGTTGCGAGAATGTAGCAGCTATTTAGGCCATGTGGACCAATTTCGAAATTTCTTTTCGCCTGAGCTCACCATTGGCTGGCGAGAGCTTCGAACTTCGCCACCTCTTCGCCATCAACGCTCGCCGACGTCACTCTCCCACCTGACGCCGCTTCCTCAAACGCACGACCCGCAACAGCGGGGGAAGCATCGGCGGGAGAGGCGGAAGCTGAGGCAGAGGATGCGCAAACAGGGGATGCGCCAGCAGTGGCCGTCGAGAATCCCCTCCATGCGATCGCCGGCACGGCAAGGCGGAAGCAGGCAGAGCGGAACACCGCGGACTTGCGGGAAGCGCGCGCCAGAACGGACATCGCGATCGTTTCGAGAGCGTTTCGAACGGATTTGATCGAATGGGATTTGATCGACAGAGCACGCTTCGAGTATCAACGGACACGTGTCAGTTGTCAGTTACGTTTCGTAGCAGTGCATTCGTCACGAACAGTCAGCGGCGCCATGCATTCCCGGAGGCCGCGGGTTGTCGTCTCGTCGCATCCGACATTCCGCATTCCAAGACTTGTTTGTTGAACCGAAAATGAACCATCTTCGCCACACTACCATGTTTGAATGAACATTTGTCCGTCCAACTTTGATCGGCAAAGCGTACCACGACCTCGGCAACATTTCAGGCGGGCTGCTGGGAGAAAACACACCCACTTTGTATTGCCCAACAGCTTGTAACACTTGACGAGCTTTGCCAAACACAAAAGTTACCCCAGCAGCCCATTCTGTTTGGTGGCTCGCGTCTCAAATTGCGATGGCAAGCACGTTCAAGTAGGGTTGAGACCGGCGAGATGCCCAATCTCGGCCACAGATTTCGCAATTGTTCCGTTCGGAAGTCGAAATCAAAACACGCTGTGTGGGTCTGATCCGAACTCACATCACTGTGAAGACCCAGGAGCACAGGGGCAGGTTGTAGGCGCGAGGAAGGCGTGTAGAGGGCGAGCACATTTGCGTGCTGCACGACTCACGCTGCTGTGGCCTGACATGGCGCACATCGTTTTATCTCGGCTCGCCCTCGTAGCATGCTGGAATGCACGCGGCGCACCCGCGGGAGAGCTGGCGCGGGCGTTGGTGCGCACAGCTGATTGTAACCAGCGTGCTTGCACATATTGCCCTCCTGCCATGCGCCTTCTTCTCCTCCCTCTTGCGGACTGCTGCCCGCCTTTCGTCGCAAAGAGCCTCGTCGGTTCCCGTCGCGCACACAACATTCAGAATCGTTGGAAGGCAGCCGTTCCTTACTTGCACGGCACAAACAGCGAAAGGCAGCGATTAGGCGGGCATTGGCGCTCATTGTCCCAAAGACCGAGGCCAGCGCTTGCTAGAGTTACAAAGCAGTCCTCCTCAACCCCTCTTGCCCGACCCCCATCCCTCGCACCGCCGCTCACACCGCCGCTCACACCGCCGCTCTCACCGCCGCTCGCACCGCCGCCATGGAGCACAGCAGCGGCGGCAGCAGCACAGGTACCACTGGCCTTGAGGCGTGCGGCCTCGACCATTGCGTGTTTCTGGCAGTGGACGGCAGGGAGGACGGCAGGCAGGACGGCAGGCAGGACGGCAGTCAGAGCAGCATTCAGGGCCGCGCCACACATGTAGGGGAGCGACGGCGTGGCGCCGAATTGCAAGGAGCGGAGGAGGCGGCGGCGGGTGGCGCAGAGGAGGAGGCGGCGGGTGGCGCAGAGGAGGAGGCGGGGCAGGAGCGAAGGAACACGGTGGAGGTGGTAGCTGCCCTGTCGCTCCTCTCCTCCTTGTGCTGTGGTGTGTCGGGTGGGTTGCTCCTTCCTCCTTGTGCGGCTGTGTGTGCTCTCGTCTCTTTCCACTCATCCCTGCCACTGTATCCTCTCCAAAAATTATGACATGTCTTTTTTTGCATGCCATCCCTTGCGTCCATGCATCTTTGCCCCTCCCTTGCCATCACTTTCTTGTCGTCTCCGTATGCCCACCTCTGCCTCTCTCCCCACCCCTCTCACATCCCCACCCCTCTCCCCACCCCTCCTCTTTCCCCACCCCTCCTCTCTCCCCACCCCTCCTCTCTCCCCACCCCTCCTCTCTCCCCACCCCTTGGCCCACACCTCGCCACGTGGCAGGCACGGGCGGAAGGTCCCCAGAGTGGCAGCAGCAGCTGCAGCGAGGGCTGCCCCCCCTCGCCCTGGAGGGCCTACGCACAGCGCTGCTGCTCGTGCCCTCGCGCGCCCAGCGCCTCGCTGCAGACAAGGCGTGGACGAGGGCGCAGCGGCAGCTGGCAGGGCAGCAGGCCGATCAGCAGGCGGAGCAGCAGGGGATGCAAGAAGCGAGGGGTGGGGGAAGACAGCAGCAGCAGCGGGCAGCAGCGGCTGTGGTGGGCGTGCGGATTGCTGTGGCAGGCCGTCCCGGTCCTGCTGGTGGCTGTGCTGGCGCCGACCTGGTGTTGCTCTCTGCGGTCTGCGCCCCCCCTGCTGCGCCCGCCTCCACACGCGCCCTTCCATTCCTCTGGCCTCCCTCCAGGTCGTTACTGGGCCTGCTAGTGTGGGTACCCATGTTGCCATGCTGCGTTTTCAGTGCAGAGCATTCCCTGGTTTGTCTCATACGGCCTGCAAGGCATGCATGGGATGCACTCGAAGCATCCTGGCTGGGTCATGTGCGTGCATGCCGCAGTATACCTGCGCTGTTGCCCACTCTACCATCCTCTGCTCTGCTCTGCCGCTCATGCCATGCCTCATCCATCCCTTCTCCCCATCACAGGATCCGTGCTGCTCTCTCAACGCCGGCACGCGTCCTCATCATCCTGGGCCACGAGGGCACCCTCTCATCCGACAGTGCCACGTGGCGCTGTGTCATTGGCCACACCAAGGCCCGCGGCAGGTTCTTTGACGCGGAGCGATTGGACGGGGCACTGAGGAGGGCGGTGAGGGCGAGGCGGGCGGCAGTGGAGGAGATGGCGCAGATGCTGGGGGAGGCTACAGGATTCGCGTCTGGGGGGACTGTGGGAAGCGTCTCTGGAGGTTCCATGCAGTGGCATGATCTGCTGTGGACGGTATGACTGGCGTGTTTGGTGTTATTGGGCTGTGAGGGCGTGAGGTTTGTGGGCGGGAGGGTGGGTGGGTGGGGCACTGTGGAGGGAACTTCATAGATCCCTGTCACAGTCCCCCTTCCTTCTCATTCCACCACCGCCCCCCGTATTCCTGCATGCACCTTGCTCCGTCTTCCTTCCCTGCACAACAAACCAACACTCCCACGGGCTACATCCCCCTCGCCCCGCCTCCCTCTGCTTTCCCCCACCCCGTTCCCCCTTCAACCCCCCGCCTCTCTCCTTCTTTTATCCACCCCCCCTCTCCCTCCCCTCTTCCTTCCCCTTCCCAACGATTCACGGCAGGGTCTGTTTTCGCCATCATTTGGGGAGGCTTTGGAGCAGCATGAGTCACTGGAGGTTCTGCTGCTGCTGTGTTTTGAGTCGACTCAAAACACCCCTCCCCGCCCTCCGCCCCCGCCCTTGCTTCCCGTTCCCAACGGTTTCCCCATCGCACTGGCAGGGTCTGTTTTCCCCGTCGTTCGGAGAGGCTCTGGAGCAGCATGAGTCAGCAGAGGTGCTGCTGCTGCTGTGCCGCATACTGCAGGGCCGGCAGGGCAGGCGAGGGGAGAGTGGGGGAAAGGCGCTGCATCGCTGGCTGGAAGGAGGGGGCGGGGGGGCGGGGCGAGGGCGGGAGGATGAGCTGTCACGGCAGCTTAGTGACATCGTGCATGTGGATGTGGTCGGCGACCTTTGTCTTATCTGGTCAACCGATGTGTGCCATGAAACGCTCAAGCAGGTAAGGTCGAGGTAAAAACGAAGCCGTGTTGTTCGAACGTCCAAGCAGCTAAGGACTGGTTAACCGATGGTGTTCAAACGAGTCAGACAAACACGAGTCAGACAAACACGATGGTATTACTTGCCTTGCTGTTTTCTCATGTCTACTGGCCATGACCCCCATGCCCCCCCCTGCGTCTCGTGCTATAAGCAGGTGGTGAGGCTGTGGGCACTCGTACCGGAGATCCAGTGCAGGCCATGGCTGCGACGCATATCCGCGCACCTCGCCTGCTACTCGGCCGCCTACCTGCACTACTGCGCTCTGCACCAGTACACATGCTCCTCACCTCGCCTGCGCGTGCCTGCTGCTGTGCAGCAGCCCGGGATACACTGGTGGCGCGCCCCTTCAGGTATGGCTGGCTGGCTTAGTGACACCTTCCAATCCAATTCAGCACCCTGTTCTCCTTCCACTCCCACGTGCCAGCTCACACCATGCGTTCCCCCTGCTCCCTCTCTTTCACCTCCCAGAAGCAGCCACCGTGGGGGCAGGGAACGCATCAGACGCAGTGACACCACCCAAGTTCATAACGTTACAGCCTGCCATGGCACTCGCGCTGCTGGCGCAGGGATCAGGTGCGCTCAGCGGTGCGCTGAGCCACGTGCCCTTTGAGGTCAACGCGGAGGAGCGCGCTGCTGTCACCTGCCCCTCCAGCCTCGTCCTGCATGGCCGCTCTGGTGGGTCCTGAGGGGGGCATAGGGGTTCGGCGTGGTCGAAAAAGGTCCAGGGGAGTCAAAGGGGGTCCGTGGCAGTCAACGCATGACTCTTGAGCTGCTTACCTGCTTCTGAGCGGTCTTACATGGAACCATTGTGTGATGTGAGGTAATGGGTGGTGTTATGCGGTTATTCCAGGTCTTTATGGTGTTCTTCTAATCCAGGAAGGGCTGTGTGGCACTTGTAATTCAGTGCCAAAGTCTCTTTAACCAGGCTGTATAATATTACAAATGAATGGACCAGAATCATACTCTTGGAAAACTCCTTAGCCACGCCAATATCAACAGTCAGCAAGCATGTGTATGCACCCTCACTATTCCCATCCCTCCTCTCAGCCTCAACATACCCCTCCCTCTCTCTCCCATCCCTCCTCTCAGCCTCAACATACCCCTCCCTCTCTCTCCCATCCCCACTCCCAGGCACGGGCAAGACAACAGTCATACTCCACCGAGTTCTGCACCTGGACCGCCTCTTCCGCGTCTCCGCCCTCCCTCCCCACCTGCTCCTCGGACAGCCTTCTCCTGCCAACGCTTCAAGCACCGCGGAGGGTGACGGCACCGTGAGCAGTGGTGTGGGGGCAGGGAGCAGGGGGGGCGGGTTGCGGCAGGTGGTGGTGACTCGGAGCCTGCACCTGTGCGCGTCCATTCAGACTGAGCTCGTGAAGGCTGCACGGTGAGAGTGGGGGCTGCACGGTGAGAGTGGGGGCTGCACGGTGAGGGTGGGGCCTGCTGCTGCTGCTTGTGCATGCAAGCCTTGATGGGATCAAGTTGATGCGTCAGTTGTGTGGCGCTCATGAGTGCGTTTCGTTTCATCGCATGTGCCTTTTTCGGTGTGGTTGCGGCGAGGAGGGGGTCTGGAACTCCCTGCAAAACCCAAGTGCCTTGTGTCTCCCTCCCCCGTCCGCCATACCATGCTACCACCATCACCAGGGCGATTGCAGCTCTGGATGCTTTCCAAGCCGGCTCACCCCCGCCACTCCCCCACGCGGGTCAACGCGCGCACGGAGCACAGGCAGCTGTTGCAACAACCGGTCAAAGCGTACTGCACAGCAGCGTGGGCAGCAGCGGCGGCAGCGGCAGTGGCAGCGGCAGCGGCAGCGGCAGCAGTGGCAGGCTGTTAATGCGAGAGGACCTGGAGAGCGCTCTAATGGGGGGCCTCCCGCCGTGCATCGCCGCCATTCCGCCCACCGCGTTCCCCCTCGCGCTCACCCTCTCCAAGCTGCTGCGCCTGCTGGACGCGTCCGTGACACGCCCCTTCCTGCTCGCCACGCGACGCCGGCGCCGGCAGGAGAAGGCGAGGCAGCGCCTGGTGCTGGCGATTGGCGTGAGCGGGCGGGGCGTGAGGCAGGCGTGGGAGGAGGGGCAGGTTGAGGGCGCGTGGAGCGGCCGCGTTGAGAAGGAGCGGTGGGAGGCGAGGCGGGGCAGTGCGAGAGAGGGCACTGCAAGGGGGGGCAGTGCAAGGGGGGAATGGAGGCGAGAAGGGGAGGGCTTCGGAGGAGGCGAGTGCAGCAGGAGTGGAAGAGGGCGGGATGGCTGGGGAGGATGGCGGGAGCAGCGGGTGAAGGGTGGAAAGGGGAAAGAAGCGGAGGAGGAAGGAGAAGGGGAGAAGGGGGAGGGGGAGGAGGACGTAGAGGTGGATTATGAGCAGTTCAGGGGGCACTACTGGGCACACCTGGACCAACGAGCCACCAACAGAGCCGTGATGGACGCAGCATTCGTGTGGCGAGAGATCAGCTCGCACATCAAAGGCAGCCTCCAGGCGCTGCACTCACCGCAGGGGCACGTGGGCGAGGAGGAGTACGTGGGGGGCATGGTGGGCAGCAACGAGCGCACGAGTGGCATGAGAGGGGCGGACCGGCAGGCGGTGTATGATGTGTTCCGGGCATATGAGAGGAGGAAGAGGCGGCAGGGCGAGTATGACTGCGCGGACCTCGTGGGTTATCTGCACCGCGAGGTGCGGCGCATGCGGGCGAGCAACGAGCCGTGGTGGGCTGTGGAGGATGCCGTTGCCATGGGTGGTGCATCCAACAGGGGTGCTAGTCACAATGGGGCCAGTCGTCGCACCACTGTTGGATGCACCACCATTGGCAGTGTGCCTGTGCCGTCACAACCGTCGCATGCATCACAGCCCAGCGGGTGCGTGGGTGCTGTGTTTGACTGTGTGGCGGTGGATGAGGTGCAGGACCTCACACAGGCGCAGCTCGCGCTGCTGCCGCTGCTCTGCTCCAACGTTGCGTCTGGCTTTGTGCTCGCGGGCGACACGGCCCAGTCCATCGCTCATGGCGTTGACTTCCGCTTTGAAGACCTTGCTCGGGTGGTTTATAGCGAGTTTCTGAATAAAGGGGATGAGTGCGGCAGGGGTGGGGGGGGAAGAGGGGATTTAAAGGTGGGAAAGGGTGGCCAGCGAACCTGGGAGAGAGGTGAGCGGCGTAAGATCAGCAATCCTAGCAGCAGCAGTGGCAGCAGCAGCAGCAATGCAGCGTCTCACCAGTTGGTGAAATCTCTCCCCACGTTTCAGCTCGTGCGCAACTACCGCACTCACAACGGAGTGCTGCGCGTCGCAAACAGCGTCGTGCAGCTTCTGAAAAGCTTCTTCCCGCTGTCCATAGACCGGCTGCACGAGGAGTTGAGTACGGTGGAGGGGTGCAAGCCGGTGCTGGCGGCAGTTTCCTCGACATGGAAGGACCAGCTCGCTCAGGGCTTGCCTCTCAGCGCCACTCAGGTGGGCACCTGTCTCTCTCCCTTCCACTGAACTGAATGGGATTGGAAGTCCAAACCCGAAGCATGCCTGAAATGCAAAGGTTCATGTTGATTTCAAAGGTCGCCCTGCTGGAAGTTCCCAAGGATCCCCACACGACACACATCTCTCCTCCACCATGCCATGCAGGCCATCATAGTGCGCAGCACGGAGGAGAAGAGCGCCATGGCTGGTCAATTCAAAGTGAAGCCGGTGGTCCTCACTGTCGAGGAGTGCAAGGGACTCGAGTTTGAGGTGTGTTCATGCCCCGCTGGCCTTGTAACGCCGTGAATTGTAGCAGGGGTCGCCTCATAGCATGCTGCAAGTTTCCTCGTTCCCACGATCCAATCCGATTGGGAAAGGAGTCATTCTCATAAGCCATCCTGCCAAGCTCTCCACTTGCATGCTCGCGATCTGCTACTGTTTTGCTTCCGACTTTCATCTCCGTCCCTTCTGCCCTGCCTTTTTCTCCCCCTTGCTTGTCAGGACGTGCTACTTTTCAACTTCTTCACCTCTCTGCACTCCACGGCACCCTGGCATCTCGTGTACACCTACATGCGCAGCACCGGCCTCTCACCTCCTCGCGGTGCTGGCCTGCCTTGTGGCTGCAGCACCAAGGGCCATAGCAGCTGCAGTCTCTGCACTCTGGATGACCTCAGGTGGGCTTTGCTGCTGCCTACGTGCCACGCATGCACTACAGAAGAGTAACCTGGCTGTTGCTTGTTCCAATGATCCAGTCCCTCAGCGTCTTCTGTGCGTCTCCCTGTCTTCTCTAGGGCAAGATGATCGTCTCAGCCAGGCAAACTGATGGACTCACGCAGCCCCAGGCAGCCAAGCTCACCTTCAGTTCAATATGTCCGATGAACATCACCTTCAGTTCAATATGTCCGATGAACATCACCTTCAGTTCAATATGTCCGATGAACATCACCTTCAGTTCAATATGTCCGATGAACATCACCTTCAGTTCAATATGTCCGATGAACATCACCTTCAGTTCAATATGTCCGATGAACATCACCTTCAGTTCAATATGTCCGATGAACATCACCTTCAGTTCAATATGTCCGATGAACATCACCTTCAGTTCAATATGTCCGATGAACATCACCTTCAGTTCAATATGTCCGATGAACATCACCTTCAGTTCAATATGTCCGATGAACATCACCTTCAGTTCAATATGTCCGATGAACATCACCTTCAGTTCAATATGTCCGATGAACATCACCTTCATCTTCACCCTACGAATATCTGGGGCATATCTGGGGTAGTGTAGGTCAAAAGATCTCGAAGCACTGGGCAGCAGAGTACAAGACTAGTTAGCCAGCTTGTAAACCCAAAGCGTACGCACGTGTCTGCATTGTGAGTCGACTCGACTCTACAATTGCCATGCATCTCTCTGCCTTCCATTGCGTCTCGCTGAACTGTGCCAAGTGCTGTGCTCTGTGCTGTGCCCCGTGCTGTGCCCCGTGCTGTGCCCTGCAGGCACTGGTCGCTCTGCTCCGAGCTAAAGCAGCTGTACGTGGCAGTGACAAGAGCCAAGCAGAGGCTGTGGGTGCTGGAGGAGGTGGGGGCAGGCGAGCACACGCCCATGGGAGACCTGTGGGCGGCAATGGGCATCGTGGCAGTGAAAGGGGAGAGGGAGGTGTGCCCGGAGTCTGTGAAGCGCGCGTCCAGTGAGAAGGACTGGAAGGCGCTTGGCTTTACTGTGAGTTGGTTGGGCAGCAACAGCCAGTGCAGCGCTGGCAATGGTGGGCCTATTTTCAAGTCGTCTCAAAAGTTGGCAATGGTGGGAGGTTGTGGCTCTGCTCGTCTTGATGCTTCTCTCTGCTGCATCTCATGTCTTCAACGCCACGTCATATCTCTCCCCTCTGGCCCCCCTGCTCCTCTTGCTTCCACTACTTGCCTTGCTGCGACCTCATATCCTCTATGCTGCGTCTTCCACATGGTACTCCCCCACATGGTACTCCCCCACATGGTACTCCCCCACATGGTACTCCCCCACATGGTGCTCCCCCACATGGTGCTCCCCCACATGGTACTCCCCCACATGGTACTCCCCCACATGGTACTCCCCCACATGGTACTCCCCCACATGGTACTCCCCCACATGGTACTCCCCCACATGGTACTCCCCCACATGGTACTCCCCCACATGGTACTCCCCCACATGGTACTCCCCCACATGGTACTCCCCCACATGGTACTCCCCCACATGGTGCTCCCCCACATGGTACTCCCCCACATGGTACTCCCCCACATGGTACTCCCCCACATGGTACTCCCCCACATGGTGCTCCCCCACATGGTGCTCCCCCACATGGTACTCCCAACCCAACCCATGGTCCGCAGTTCTTCCAAAGTATGTTTTTCAAAAAACATACTTTTTGAGAATTCTCAAAAAACATGCGCTGCGCCTTTCACATGGTGCTCCTAACCCAACCCTTGGTCCGCAGTTCTTTGAAAGAGGCGATTATGAGGCAGCTCGGGCGAGCTTCGAGCGGGCGGGAGACAAGGACAACGCGTGCTTTGCTCAAGCCACAATGTACTATGAGGCGGGCATGGGGCGCGCAGCACAGCCATCCGCAGCAGCCATTGCTGTATCAACCTCCTCTGCTGCGTCAGCCTCGTCTGCGCTGGCCCCAGTGCTCCCGGACCTCTCTCTGCTGTCCTGCACCGAGTTGCTCCTGGCGGCGGCTCGTTGTTTTGAGGGCATCAGGAGGGGCTTGGAGGCGGGTCGTGCGTATGGCAAGGCTGGGTGCTATGAGGAAGCAGGTAGGGAGTGTTTTACGTATAGGTATGAGCGTTCATGTGCGACGATGAGCATACAGAGAAGGCTGCAGAGCATACATGAGCGCAGCGCAACGTTAGTGCAACTTGCAAGCACTCGCATGTGCCCCGCCGTTCGTCATCCACCGTTCATTTCTTTCCTCGTCTGTCACGCATGTCATGTCTTTCCACAGGCTCGCCTTGCACCCTGCTCTCCCGCCCTCCCTTAATCTTTTAAAGAATTCTCCCATCCCATCCCCCCCCCCCCACCACCAGCACGTGCCTATCTCTCGCTCTGCCAACCTCCTGACCACGCCAGCGCTGCACGGTGCTTCGAAAAGCTACGCAGGTTCGCCGAAGCATCTGACTGCTACAACGCGTTGGGTGATAGACCCACCGCCCTCGCTGCATGCCTACGTGGCAGCATCTTCGCCAAGGGCCTCTCACTGCTCGACAGCTGGCAGGCAGTGGCGTCTCACCAGGCCACGTCAGCACCGGCATCTCACGGTGCAAGTGAGTCCAGCTCAGCATCTGCAGGGCCAGAGAGTGGAAATTTGTCTCACTTGAGGCATTGGTATGTGGAGGAATGTGCAAGGAGGCTGGGAGACCGCGGCGAGTATGGTGAGATGATGGGGTATGTGCACCTGCTGCCGGAATTGCACGACAAGCGCGCGTTTCTAGAGAGAGAGCGGCATTTGAGGGAGCTGGCAGCTCTGGAGGAGCAGGAGGGCGAGGTGAGGCGAGTGCCGGGTATACTGCTGAGAGCGGGGATGCTGCTGGAGGCATGCACTCACTTGTGGAACAGGGGTTGGCCGGGGCAGGCCCTGGTGGCCTTTGTGCGGCACCTGCAGTGGCGGGTGAATGCGGCGGGACTAGGGGCGTGGGCGGTGGGGATGAGGAGGGGGGCAGGGGGCAGCAGTGAGGGGGAGGGGAGGGGCGTGGCGCAGAGCACGTTGAGCAGAGAGGAGGTGGCGATGGCTCGGCGGCTGCGGGTCATTGAGCCGGAGAGTTTGGAGTTTGCAGACAGGGTGGAGTGCGAGGGGTGTGACCTGGCGTGGGCCAAGGTGGAGATGAGCGTGCTGCTGTTCGTGATTGACCTTCACTCTGATGTTGCTGATAATGCTGATGATTCCGATGGTTCTTCTACTGCTGCTGCTTCTGCTGCTGCTGGTGCTGATGGTGGGATCAGTGGCAAAGCGGGTTGTCCGGATAGGCGTGTGTCAGAAGCTACAGACCAAGGGGCGGGGAGTGCGGCTGTGTGTGCATCTTGTGTGGAGCTGGGCCGAGCAAAGAGTGTGGAAAGGGAAGCTCGCGTGTCGCAAGCGTGGATGACGGTAAGCCGAGGTCAGATGCTTTCAGCAGGGCGCATGGAGATAGGCCCTCAGAGCGCTGCTGCCAGCAGTGGAGAGAGCAGGTTCAGGGGCGTGGAGGGACAGATGGTGGTGAAGGGGTTGAGCAAGGCGGAGTTGAGAGAGGTGGAGGAGCTGTGGGACGGGGGAGGTGGCGTGCTGCGGAAGGGCTCGGAGCAGGTGTGGCGAGAGAGGCGGGCGGAGAGCAACGACATGGAGCAGAGGGAGTGCAGGGGTGGTGGGCAGAAGGGGCGTGTGCAGTGGAAGGGGGTGGAGCTGCTGCGAGCAGAGCTGATGCTCGCTTACACCGGGCTGCAGGAGTCTCTGCACTTGCTGCAGTGGGGGCAGCGCTGCCTGCTGCACTACCTGGAGGAGCATATTTCAGCTGAGCCCCACAGCCATTGCACCTGCCCCGAACCTGCTGCTCACGCGTCTCAGCCTGCTGCCAACGCAACAGCAGCGGCTACAGCGTCAACGGATGCATTAGCCAGTCGTGGTGTCACAATATCAACTGCAGCAGCAGCAGCAGCAGCAGCAGCAGCAGCAGCAGCTCTGCAGCCGTGCAATCTCCCCCTGCCGTCCCTCTCTCTTCTCCACCACAAGGTGGCTCTCTGGTGGTGGCGGTGGGCTCGCAGGCTGGCCGCCCTGCTGCCCGCGCTGCATCATCTGCACATCCACTCCATGCTTGAATCAGACTCCCACCTGCCCCACCTGCACGCCCTCTTCTCCCTCCTCTCCACCACCTTCCACCGCCACATCCTCTCCTCCTCTTCCCCCTCCTGCCAGATCGACGACATGGGGTTGGCGTGGGCGCGTGGGAAGAAGGCAGAGAGGCTGTCAACCACAGGGCGGAGCGGGAAGATGGAGGGGAAGCAAGCTGTGAAGGCGGTGAAAGGGGTGTGGGAGAAGGAGTTTGAGAAGCGATTGGAGGACACGAGGCGAGTGGTGTTTGATGGGGTTCAGCTGTGCTCCTGTGCACTCATAAGCTGCTCTGACAAGGTTGGTACCCGTCTTGCTCTGTAGTCACTGCTCTGTAGTCACTGCTCTGTAGTCACTGCTCCAAGTGTGGGGTGTTCACAAGGGCAGTCACGGTGGATTATTGCCTGTATTTCTGATCTACTGCCAATCTTTCTTTCACATACAGCTTTGGTTTATCCCTTTGTACCGTATTGTACCTGCCCATAATCCCCTTGTGTTCCGGGACGGTCTCAAATGGTCGTTTCCCAAACTCCTCCCTTTCCTTTGCCGTCTGTGTTTGAACTGAATGTGGCTTTGGCAGGTCGCTATGGCCATGTGCAAGCATCATGTGTCCACTGCTTCTGAACCACCACTCTCTCTGCATCAGACACCCTTCCTCTGCTTCCCATGCCCCTCTCTGCTCACCCCCTTTCGCACCCTCTTTCTCCTCTCTGAACCCTTCCTCTCGCTACTCCCTGTCACCACACTGTCCTGCTCACGCTCTGCCTTCTTCCAGCCCTGCTTTCTCACTCCCACTCACAGCCTCCTCACCTCCCTCCTTCTCCATCCAAGTCCTTCCTCCACGCACTCTCGCCTCCATGCCCACCTCCACCTCACGCTCCTTCACCTCAAAGCTTCCCTCGCAGCCCTGCTGCTGCTGCTGCCAGACAATCCACTGGAGAAGCGCGTTTCAAAGGAGAAACGAGCTGGCAGTGCTGAGGAGGGGAGTGGCGGAGCTGAAGGGGCGGGGAGAAGTGGAGGCAGGGGCGGGTGTGGTGGGAGCTGTGGTGAGGGTGAAGGCAAAGAAGTCGTGGGACATGAGAATGGAGAGGGTGTGGCCTGGACCACACATGGGGCACCCGTGGGGAATACAGCAGGGCAGCGTTTGGTTGGTGCAGTGCCGCATGGTGCATGTACGGAGGAGACTGCTGGGCTTTCAGAGGAAGAGGTGTGGCGCGTCACGCAGCTCCTGCTTGTGACTACAGTCAACGCCGTTCCCGATCCTCACAACCCTTTATACTTGAAGGAGCGGTTTGGCAGCTTGAAGGGAAACCCTCTCATGGCAATCACTCTCAACAGCTTCTTTGAATCACTCAGCACACGAGCATTGCTGTATCAGCAAGCGTCCAGCATGTGGAACATGCATGGCGATGCTGGTCGCCAGGTTCCTGCCATCAGCCTAGTGTCATTGCTGCCTCCACCTCCTCCTCCTCCTCTTGCTCCTCCGTATCCTCCTCTTTCTGCTCCCTTCTCTGCTGCTCCCCCAATCCTCCTCCCCGATCCTCCATCTGCGATCTTCAACCTCCTGCCAGCTTTTGCTGTTCACCTCGCTCGGCTCCTCTCTCTGCTCCTCCCTGTCTTACGTGCGGGTGCAACAGAAAGGGAGGGTGAATTCATTGGGCGGGCCAGGTTGGAGCTGGTGCGTGCACTAGAGGCAATGGGCATTGACATGGTCTGCCACTCGCAATCACATTATGAGAGCCATTGCTGCAAGTGGGGAAGGGGCAGATGAGGAAGGCCCTGTTAGGGTGGTGGGGCGTGTCATGTGTGCTATGCGGGTGGTTATGTTTGTTGCACCATATTCCCCGGTATAAACTTTTATCTAGAAAACGGTGTGGTATGGGTGCCTAGGCTACCGTATAAGTGGCTGGAAGTGCAAAGCACATGGATGCAATTATAGATTGAGTATAATTTTCTTGAGTTGAGTGAAACTCCTCAACACCATTCACTTCCAGTCCACAACGGCATAGGTACAAATGAATCATCCAAGATGCCACATCATTTAGAAAACGCACTCTGCTCAATCCTTCAACATCCGCTCCAGCATCAGCATCACCTTCCGCTCCCGCATGATCATCAGCCGCATCCGCATCTCCAGTCGCCGCCGCATGCCCTCCCTGCCGCATCCGCTGCTTCAGCCTTCGTCGCGTGTCACTAAATTAAGTACAAAATCATAAAGAATTTCAACAAAAGATTGCCAAGCATTCGGCACAAGAGTGCCTCCATTTAAAGTTACAAGGTAAAATAAAAGTAAAACAAAAGTCACCGTTAATAGCATGAATAAAGAAGAATTTGTAAATGAAAGATAGAAATTACCTATATGAAAAGGAATCAATGAAATAATAGCAAATTGCTCTAATGGGCTAAAAACCATACAAACTTTTTTTTTTAAGGCGCGCACAGGGCGGAGCAAGCAATTAGGTTCGTAGGAGCAAGCAAGCGACATTATTAGATGTGCGGCGCCCGGTGTACGGGCGGAAGCTCTCAGTAAGTGAAAACAGCGGAATGAGTAGCATTGATTGGGTTGGGGTACATATGCCTAACCCTAACTGCTTGTACCCCATATAGCATGACCCACAACAGGGTATAACATTTGACACACCCCCATAGCCTAAGTGGGGAATGCCAAGCAACAAGAAACGCAACCTAAGGTCACAAGACCAGTCACAAACAAAAGACAAAACAAAGCTCAGGGTGGATCACAACGTCACCACACAGTCTGAGCGCAAACAGCGGCCACAAGGCCAGTTCAAGAGTGTATATGCAGATATATACTGTACAAGCAAAGACAAGAGACAAGCACTCACTACTGCAGTCTACTCGACCCAGTCTCAACGAGGCCCAACTGCAGACAGAACCGACGGTGGTCACAAGGCTGAAGAGCCTTGGTGAAGATGTCTGCAGTGTTGGCCTCGGAGGCCACGAAGTCCAGACGAGCCTGCCCGCGTCTCTGCAACTCTCGAAGGAGGAAGTACCTGACGTCGATGTGCTTCACTCTGCTCTCCAGTCGAGGCTCACGACACAGGAGAATCATCGCCCTGTTGTCAGCAAACAGGGTCGGTGCAGAGCTCGGCCGCTCACCAAGGTCAGTGAGCAAAAAGGTCAACCAGCGTAGCTCCTGAGCAGCAAGGGCCCCAGCGTAGATCTCGGCCTCTGCGGTAGAAGTCGCAACCGAGGAGGACCGAGTAGACCTCCACGAAACAGCTCCAGGATCCAGGCTGAAACAGTAACCCTGCGTAGACCTCTGAGTCTCAACGTCGTCGGCGTAGGAGGAGTCGCAGTGACCGGTGAGTACAACTGGCTGTGTCCCTCCAAGTACAAGCCCCATGCCTGATGTCGCGCCAAGGTACTTCGCCACCCTCTTAGCCGCCGCCCAGTGAACAGGACGGTGTCTCCCAGTCGCAACAAAGCGAGACAGGATGCTAAGAGGGAAGGCGAGGTCCGGGCGAGTGCACGTCATCAGGTACATGAGGCAGCCCACCAGCTCTGCGTAGGGACCACTGGGCTCGAACGGCTCGTCAGGAAAAGGCCCAGTGAGTCTGTGGTCTACAGCAAGAGGAGTGGGTGTAGGAGAGGAGTCCTGAAGCCCGAACCGCTGAAGGACCTGCTGCACCATGTGTGACTGAGTCAGAGTGATGGTGCGAGCGGCTCTGTCCCTGGAGATCTGCAGGCCAAGGTAGCGGCGCAGTTCTCCAAGGTCAGTGCACGTGTGTCTCTTCTGCAGTTCGGACTTCACCTCCGCCAGTGCAGCTGTGTCGGCTGTGGCAAAAACCAAGTCGTCAACGTAGACCAGAACGAAGAAAGGTGTGCGCCCACGACGAACAAACAGCGACGGGTCGGCGGAAGACGGCTCAAACCCGAGGTCGGAGAGAGTAGAGCGGAGAGTGTCGTGCCACTCACGGGGTGCCTGGCGGAGACCGTAGACCGGTCGTCTGAGGCTCCACTGGGTCCCAGGCGGGAAAGTGCCAGTGAAGCACGTAGGACGACGCAGCCAGATCTCCTCGTGTAGGCGGCCCTGGAGGAAGGCAGTGGAGAAGTCAAGAGAGTGTAGCTCGTAGTCTCTCTGCGCTGCTACGTGCAGTAACACCCGAAGAGTGGTCATCTTCGGGGTGGGCGCGAAGGTCTGAAAGAAGTCAACTCCCTCACGCTGACTGAACCCTCTAGCCACGTAGCGTGCCTTGAAGACTGGGGGAGATCCCGGCGGCCGCTTCACCTTGAAGATCCACATGCCGTCAACGATGTTCGCCCCTGGTGGGGGAACCTCGTCAACGTAAGTGCCTGTGGACCTGTAGGAGGCCATCTCTGCGTCCATGGCAGCTCTCCATTGAGAGGCCCAAGGCCCTGACACTGCCTCAGCGTAAGTGCGAGGAGTAGGTATGTCAGGAGCGTCGGGGTCTCCCTCAGGAGTGAGCAGCATGGCACAGAGATGAGGCGAAGCAGCTGCCAGGAACTCTAGCTCAAACTGTCTGTCCTCTAGGACGTCACAGCCAAGGGCAAACTCACCCCCGGCGGACAGAGGACGGACAGGAGGAGCGGCCACAACACGAGTAGCGTAGTCAAGGCGACGCGTAGCAGTAAAGTCAGTGACAGCGGCAGTGAGGACCGCGACGGAGGAAGGGGAGGCACGAGGGTCTGTAACAAGAGAGGCGAGAACACGAGAGAGAGTGGGGCGGTACGTGCGGTAGTAGTCAGTGACCGGAGTGGACAGGGAGGCAGTGAGGGAAGACTCAGGAGGACGAGGAAGGGCCGACGGAGGAGAACGAGGAGGACTAGGACGAAACAACACGGTACGGAGGTCAGTGACAGGGGACGAGGGACGAGCACGAGGAGGACGAGAGGCCCAAGTGTGGGCGAGAGGAGTGGGGGACGGAGGAGACAGAGAACGAGGGAAGACAGCCGGAGTGGAGTCCGGAGGAGGAAACGTAGGACCGAACACAGGAGGAGAGGAGGGGAGACCAAGGGCCCGAAGGCCAGAAACAGGGGGCGGAGGCTGCTGCGGCTGCTGCTGCTGCTGCGGCTGCTGCTGCTGCTGCGGCTGCTGCTGCTGCTGCTGCTGCTGCTGCTGCTGCTGCTGCTGCTGCTCCCGCTGCAACTCCAACCTCTCACTCTCCACCCGCTGCTGAAGCTCCAACCTCTCACGCTCCAAACGCTGCTGCTCCTCGCGCTCAAGACGAAGACGGGCCTGGTGGCGAGTCGGGTAAGGGTGAGGAGGAGGAGTAGCGTGAGGAGACGACGAAGAAGAACGTGCTCCGCCGTCGACAGCACCCGGCTGAGCACCCCCAGAGCGAGTACCCCCCGCGGCAGCACGACCTGCACCTGCAGGAGGTGTACCCGCACCCCCAGGCGTGGTGCCCCCAGTAGCACCAGCACCAGCCCCAGACTCTCCAGCTCCAGAAACACCACCAGCTCCAGCACCACCACCAGCTCCAGTACCCTCGGAACGGGCAGCTGCGGCAGGTGCACGCTCAGCGCCAGTGCCAGCACCCCCAGAACTGGCCGCTCCTGTAGGTGCACGAACAGCTCCAACGCCAGCACCCCCAGAGCGAGCACCGCCAGAGCCCTCACCGCTAGCACCGACACCCTCAGTGTCCGCAGTGGCCGGTGAAGGAAGCGCCGACGGCTGCTGCGGAGGCGGTGAGGACGACTGTGGGGAAGGAGGAGAGACCTGGGGGGGTACCGAGGGAGGGGGAGTAGCGTGAGACACACCAGACGGAGCGGGAACAGGGGGGGGTACCGGAGGAGCAGGGGCGGGAGGAGGAGGAGCTGGAGCCAGGAAGAGGGGAGGGGGGGGAACCGGGAGACCTCGAGAGGGGTACCTGACGTAGTAGGGGACGGACTCGTCGAAACGGACGTCACGAGAGTCAAAGAACCGGTGGGAGGGTGGGTGGTAAAAGGTGAAGTCAGAGGAGCCCTCTGGGAAACCAAGGAAGACACAGGGGACTGCACGAGGCGAGATCTTGTCCGCAGAGGTGTCGCGGACAAGAGCCAAGCAGCCCCAGACACTAAACCTCGACGCAACACCAGGGGACCCTGTCCAAAGACTGGTCGGTGAAGCCCCTGGCCGAGAGACGCGAGGCCAGAGGTTCAGCTGGTGAGCGGCGTACCGAGCCGCGTAGGGCCACAGAAAATGGGGCGCGCGGGCGTGGATCATGGAGGTGCGGGCGATCTCCATGACCAGGCCTAAGCGGCGCTCAGCAACCCCATTCTGCTGTGGAGAGTCTGGAAGAGTCCAGGACTGGGTGATGCCCTGCTCAGCACAGAATCTGGCGAGAATGCCGGAGCGAAACTCACCCCCACGGTCGGAGTGGAGACAACTGACACGACGACCACGAGTGCCCTCGGTGGCGAGCAGCCACCGGATCAGCGTAGAAGTCACGTCGGACTTCTTCGCCAAAGGGAACAC